AAAAAAAAAAAAAAAAAAAAAAAAAAAAAAAAAAGACCAGCCCTAATCTCCCTGACTAATCATCACCTCCACCCCTCACCACCCAATAAGCATCAACCTAGCATAATCCGGTCCAGACCATAACCGCCCCCTCTCTCCGCTTACCCTTTCCAGAATCTGGTCCTGATCTTTGTGTTTATCCCGGAACCAAACTTGCACCCGCTGCTTTCCAGACACTGTACCCTGTAGTTAGGTACATACTCTCCAAACCCCAATAATGTTAAAACTCTTGGGCTTTGTACCATCCCCCGGGCTCAAGGATTCTGGTTCTGGACCTGAATCTTAGGACTAACCCCAAAGACCAATTTTTTGGGGTTCTGGTTCGAAATCTTGGATCTGTTGATGTTCGGGATGTTCTCGGGGGGTATTTGTCTTCTCTTCTCTACATCCTGTGGTTCGGGGTGTTTGATGTGCTTAGGACGCGCGTTGAGGTATTTCTTTGTAAATCCAATGGCTACTGAGTACACACCACAAAACCCGAATAAACGATGGCAAATAAAGACAACGGCTGTCATTGTAGGCTACAGAATACCAACTAACCTGTTCTGGCTTACTGCTTACTGTTCTTCCGTAGTCCTCCGGTGCTCTCCAGTTTCTCCATAGGACAGGGCAGTGATCTCACGTGACAGTCGCTATTCTGGACCCAAGGACGAGACTGTCATATCCGCGGTCTGTCATAACTCCGCCAGTTCGTCGGCTGTTTACCGCCCAGAACATGTTTCCAATAAACTTTGTTATCGCACGCTACCCATTTCTACGCTAGGAAAATTGCTCGACGAGCACGAGCTGGATAGCTAACTAGCTTGCGCAGATGTTCCAATTATTAACGTTGGGAAGTAGTACAGAAATGCATCAAATGCAATTGGTTGTTCAAGAATAAAAAAGATTCTCACCAGTATGGCGTGCGCATCGCCGCCAGTGTAGAGAATGTCCCTTCTCCCGCCACCTCGTCCTTTGGTCGGTGACCCGCCAACTCCAGGTTGATTTGTCGATGCAGGTGCACCAGCCAATCGACGTAGCTTTGGGCTTCGTTGTTCCGGTCTTCCACCAGTAGCCGCGCAAACTCGTACTCGGCGCCGTCCATGCCCTGGCGTGCCAGTTGGATTGTTACGGCCTTTGACCCGCGGATTTCGGAAAAGTACTGTAGCAGGTTGCGCACTTGCGCGTTGAGGTGTGTTTCCAGGACTGGGAGTGAGGACATCTGCGCGCTGAGTGATTGCAGCGATGCGTGGCCCGGCCCGAAGAGATCCTCGAGGAGGTTGGGTGATATTTGCGAGTGCAGCCACAGCAAGCACACTTGCCCGTTGTCTATCAGATATGCTCCGCCTTCCTCGACCTTCGAGAAGCTGGCCCGTAGCGCCGGGGGAACCTGCAGTTGGCCTCTCTCGTTCGGGAAACCATCCTCGGGCTGCATGTTGTGGATTGGGACAATCCTGGGATACAGATACAGTGACAGCTCTGTACATCCAATCGACCGGATCATCCGCATGTCATGTACGCGGCGGTCAGAAGATTCGTGTCCACCTGCGCGTCACTTATCAGCTTCGATTCTCCACTGGTTCACAGAATATAGACCCACCCTTGAATGCCCGAGATTTGACCAAACTCAGCATGAACATCGAGTACTCCTTCAGGTTCTCCGGCAGCACCAACTGTCCCGGCGGATGAGACCCTGAGAAAATCCTACGGTAGCCACTAAGAATGTCCACCGTTTTCTCCATAACGCTCGCCCGGATATCCTTAAGCGACTTGTCCAACGTTTTCGAGGCGGCTGTTTGGTCAGCAAGCGAATCAAGACCCTGGATCGACAAACTTACCCTCTTTGGCAACAAGACCGATAACCGCATCTTGGTCAATGCTCTTCATGGTATCCATTCCCCCTTCGTTGGCAGCCGCCACCACGTTGATACATCGCACCCGACGTTGCCCATCGGCTGACGTGTACAGAAGTGCGGCTTGGAAGTGCGCATCCAACTTGGGATCCAACTTGCCATCGTAGCTGAACAACACGCCAAGCGCCTTGTCCGCGTCAATGCTACCAATCTCCAAGTCCGCGCCAAACGTGTGTTGCAAGAAGTTTCCGTGGTAGTTCGAAACCTGGAGACCGTTCGAGCATCGGACCTTCATCAACGCTTGGTACCCGGTCTCACGGGTGACAGCATGTGCCAGTTCCTTCGATAGCTTCAGCAGATCTCTGGGGGAATGGAAGTTCGGATAGAAGAATGTCTCTCCGCCAGTGACACCGGAAACGTAGCCTATTCACGACGTTAGTTGCCTTCATAACTTGGCGCTTGCGAAGGGCCAACTCACCCATGGTGGCAACATCCATATAGACGCCACCAGGTGCTGCGATGAACATGTCCACTCCAATCCCAGCCTCGGCCAGTTTGGAGCCAGTCTTCTTCCAATCCTGGTGTTCCGTGTTGAACAGTTTCTTCTCTGCGTCCGTGCCGTGCAGCTTCGGGTCTTCTCTCATGACAAGTTTCCCGGGGCTTGCGGTTGGCAGGCTCGCCACTGAGCAAACGACCTTTCCGCCGGTGGCCTGCAGAGCTGACAGTGCAGCGTTCAGGGCAGGAAGCACCGCAGGTTCGGGGTTCTTAACGTGGGAGAACATGGTCGGGATTCGTTGCAGGAGAGAGGAAACCACATCCCTAATCAGTATTAGCCATCATCACCCTCGTCTCGTATAGATCATCACCCACTTGGACTCGTAGGGGTCAACGAAGAGCCCTTCGCTGAGAGGAACAAAAGGTTCTTCGAGGTCGGTCATAACCATCATCTGCGCTTGATCAAGTTGTGCCTGAAGAGTCAACATCGTCGCTACACCAGCGATCACAGGGGCGAAAACATACACTGAGATTATAGAACTGCACTTCACGATCAAAAGTGACAATACCGACTTTCGACCCTTCAGGTATCCTCCGCACTGGTTCATCCTCCGGGTTCTCCTGGTTGTCCTCGCCATAAAGAGCCTCCAAGATACCCCTGCAAGTTCCCTTCAAGACCCCCCGGTTGATGGCGTCTTGACTGACATCAATCAAAAACAACCACTGCAAACCAACAGGCTCCTTATTCCAGTATTCCTTCGGGACCAAAAACTCCACTGTACCCATCATCAACTCCGGCCGCTGCATACGGTCGATACGTGCTCCCGTTTGATCAATTGGGGCAAAGTACTCCGGCGGTACATCGTTCGGGAAGGTGCACATGTTGCAGACATATTTGTTTCCTCCCGATTTGAATGTCATGAAAGGATTAATGTAGGCTCTGCATCTCCGGCACCGCGGAGGACCGACGTCCCCAAAGTCCAACACAGGTATCTCTTGTTCTCCCGGGCTCAAGCGCGCCAATGGCTGCAGGACCATACCCAGAGGTAAACCCGTAGAAGCGAGGAAGTTGGAGGTGGTCGGGATATTATTGAGCGTCAAGCGAGCGTACTTGGGAGACGAATTGCCTTGGTCGTGGGCGAAAAACGGGACTGCAGCCGGAGGAGGGTTGTGCCATTCCATCGTCGGATACACCTGGTTGTAGTAGTACTGCGTGTAGATGTCGCGGGCCCGGGGCACACTGGGAATTTGCTCCGGATCGACCTTTCCTTGAGTAGGCACAGAACCACCGCCCATAGTGCCCGGGATCCCAGGCTGGGGGATCATGCCTGGACTGGGGCCGGCCATGGCCTGAGGAGCGACAGCTGGCGACTCGGCCCGCGGGGCCTGGTTCAAACCGGTATTCAGGAACTGCGACGCTGGCTCTCCGGTGACTGGCGCAGGAGCTGCGGCTGATGGGCCACCAATATCATGGTGCGCATGTCGATGTTTCTTCTTCTGTGCCCGGGGAGCCCCGTCTCCCATGATACCCAACCCGCTCATTTGCGACGACAACCCCGCCATGTTCGGCTCGGCAGGTGCAGTTCCCATTGGCGCTGGTGACCCTGCATAGGCGAATTGGGGAGTAGGGGCGATGCTCGTAGGTTGTTGTGGGACTGGGTATTGCTGTTGCTGTTGTGGTTGAGGAGCCGGAGAGCCATAGGCGGAAGGGGCCCACTGATTCGGAGCAGGCGAGCCGTAGCCGGGCTGAGGAGGAATGCTTCCGGGGGCATAAGAGGGAGGAGGGTAAGGAGAAGGGTATTGTTGACGATTGGGATTCGAGGGGTCCTCGCCAGGCGCGGCGGCCTGGCCATAGTATTGATACATCGGATTATCCGCCATGGTGCTTCATAACGCGGCGGGCAGTGGAGGGGGGAATTCGAATCCTGTACAATCAACACTGTACCATCGGTAGGCACTGACTGGAGCCGTCTGAAAAATAACCAGACAGAAAAATGCCCAGCAGGCAGGAACTGGTCGAGGAGTTGAAGTTATCACCAACTGACCACCTAACTCAACTCGGGGCGGATTTATGTGGCTCCGGGCGGTCATCTATGAGTTGTTCAGGGCATTGCTAACTGATACGGATTTTTATGTCTTTATAGTGTCAGTTTTCGGGGGTATTATTGACTTGTCTGTTTCCTGCAAAAGAAATTGAAGAATATGAGGTGGCGTTGTGGTGCTGGTATTCTACCCCTGACGATTGATAGCGAAATAGTTCCGAGTAAACAAACATCGGGGACGGTCGAATGTCGAAAAAAAAAAAAAAAAAAACATCGCAAGACAGTGATAGAGATAGAACAAGATATCTAATTCATCACTTCAACTAGTTATTCACTTGTCTGACCACTGCTGGCATAAATCCTCGGACATTCGCAATATGACATGATTCTCGGGACATACCCCGGCCTCTGCATTCCCCATTCGAACAAAAGCAATCAATCAAGAACCGGTATGACAGGACTATCTCTCGTCCAGTTTCTGCATACTTGCACATAAAACTGCAGATCTTATCAACGTTGCTCCGATAAGCGGAGCCTGTAAGCGCTCATGCCACCATCTGCCAGTTCTGTTTGCGATCCTCATTTTTTGCTCTGACGGTCCTTCTCTTCTCCTCTTTTGATTGTTCTCGAGTAAATGTCAATCCATTGTTCGTATCGGGACATGAATGCCTCGTAAAAGCCATTCCGTAGTCTACCCACCGTCTATTCATCCAAAGTACAGTATGCACCGACACCCCATATGCTATACAAGTCTAACATACCCAGAAAACCCCAAAATGCCCCAACCCTCAGACTCAGACACCCTCCTCCTAGCCCGCATCGGCTACAAACAAGAACTCCGCCGCGAATTCTCCAAATACTCCACAATCTCCTACGCCATCTCCATCCTCGGTGTCCTAGGCTCCGTCCCTGCAACCTTCGGCGCCCCCCTCGCATCCGGCGGCCCAGCAACAGCCGTCTGGTGCTGGTTCCTGGGCTCCTGCATGGCGATGTGCATTGGCAGTTCTGTGGCGGAACTTGTGTCGGCGTATCCTACGGCTGGGGGAATGTATTTTGTGACCAAGTTTGTGGTGCCGGAGGAGAAGGTGCCTGTTTTTTCGTGGGTGCAGGGGTGGTGTAATTTGCTGGGGCAGACGGCGGGGGTGTCGAGTGTGGCGTATACAGTTAGTCAGATGGTTTTGGCTGGGGTGAGTATGAGGTCGGATATGGTGGAGGGAAGGTATTCTTATGAGCCGTATGCTTCCTATATTTGCCCTATTTGAGCGCGACTGACCGGTTTCAGGACCGCGCTGCAAACCGTTATATTATCTATTGTCCTCTTGTGTATCCTGGGCGTGATTAGCTCGTTGACAACAAAGACCCTGCACCGGATAATCCTCTGGTTTGCGCCGATAAACAGTACGCCGCTACCAAACCCTATACAACATGCATGAAACACTAACACAGACAGTCTCCGCAACAATCGCCATCTGCTTCGTTCTCATATATGCCACCCCAGACAAACAACCAGCCAGCTGGGTATTCACCCACTTCACAGACGGCTCAGGATGGGGCTCCAAGATATTCTCCTTCTTCCTGGGTTTCCTCGCCGTCGCATGGACAATGACAGACTATGACGGGACGACACAGTAACCACCCTACCCCCAATTCCCTATTCCCATCTGTTAACCAAGAATAAAGTATGTCTGAAGAAACCCACAACGCAGCCTCCTTAGGTCCCCTCGCCATCCAAACCGCCGTCCTAGTCTCCGGCGCAATGGGCTGGATGTTAACCGTCTGTCTATGCTTCTGCGTGACTGATCTTGATGATATTCTAAACACGCCAACTGGTCTCCCCGCAGCACAGATCTTCCTCAATGCAGGTGGGAAAACCGGAGGCACGATTATGTGGGGACTAGCGACGCTCGTGCAGTTCTTCACTGGTTGTTCGGCCATGTTAGCTGATACACGAATGGCGTATGCCTTTGCCCGTGACGACGCATTACCATTTTCCTCGTACGGCCCTTCCCCCTCTCCCCATTCATCAACAATAGCAGAAGCAGGACAAGCACTGACGCGCAACATAAAAACAGAACCCTCTCAAAAGTCCACCCAAAAACCCACACCCCCCTCAACGCCGTCTGGTTCGTCGTAGCATCCAGCATAGCCCTCAACACAATCGCCATCGGCTCCACCCAAACCGCCACCGCGATCTTCAGCATCACAGCGCCCGCGCTCGACCTCTCGTATGTCTCCGTGATCTTCGCGCACCGGTTCTACAGGGAGCAGGTGGAGTTTGTGCCCGGGCCTTTCTCGCTGGGAAGATGGGGGGGTGTTGTTAATGGGGTGTCGGTGAGTTGGGTGGTGGGGATTAGTGCGGTGTTGTTTTTGCCGATGAGGGTGCCTGTTACGGGGGCTAACATGTATGTTTTTTTTTTTTTTTTTTTTTTTTTTTTTTTTTTTTTTTTTTTTATGTTATCTTGTTTTCGATCTTTGATCTCGATCTCGATCTTCGTTTGGGGGGAGGCGGTGCTGACGAGTTCTAGGAATTATGGGATTTGTGTGGGTGCGTTTATTGCTGCTTTTGCGCTGATTTGGTGGCGGGTTTCTGCGAGGGGGTAAGTCTGTTCATTCTGTGGTCAATGGTTGAGTGCTAATGGTTTACAGGAAATACACAGGCCCTAGGACCAATGATTATTCACGACTAGACGGGGACGACTACGGAACTATACACCACGACCTAGAAGGATAGATATCAAAGACATAGATATACAGATTCATGCTAAACAATACAATACAAGACCATACTCCAAATTCAATATAGCCATACCTCATATACCATGAACATAGATAAATACAAAAAAAAAAAAAAAAAAAAAAAATATGCGTTTTGTACTGTTCTGATTGCTGTATGTCCATGTCCAACCATAATCGCCAACACGTTAAGACGCCATGTCAAAAAGATATCCTGTTTTCTCAGGTCCTGGTTCCCGTTGCCTGCCTCCAGTCCTGCCAACCGAAATTGCAACGCCTGATACCATGTGCTAAAAGGGGATATAAAAAAGTGATGATGTAGAAGAGAAGCAAGAAAATCAAAGACAATATCATACAAACATAGAACATGACATGCAAAGGGGAATCAAGGAATCAATCAAAATAAATGCAAGTAAATGGGTAATAAAAGAGGAAAATATATAAAATAGAAATAAAAAAGATGGGACAAGTGAAGATCAAGTGATGAGGAAATCCATATTCATATCCTTGATGATCTTCTCCCAGTCCCAACTCTCGTCGATGTTGGTGTCCATCACCCCCCACACTCGCTGGACTACCAGCAAGGCCTGATCGATATTGCGGAGGTTGGAGTAGGCTTTGAGAGTATCGAATCCATTCTTGATCCGTTCGCGTTGATGTGGGACGAACGCGGAGCATCCCAACAGGAACAGTGGCATCAGCACAATACTGTATGCTCCAGCATCTTGCGGCAACTGGTCCAAGTAGGCCAAACCATCATCGACCACCTGCGCTATTTTGTCGCTTGGTCGTGAAGGCCGGATCGTTCGATAGAGGTACACCCATGTCGATTGTCGATACAGCTGTGCCAGGTACCAGTTGGCCGTGTCGGGGATATGCGAGGTCTCCCAAACGCGGATGGCCGAGTCGATCGAAACGGCGTCGCTCAGGATTTCATAGTCGACGGCAGGCTCGTAGCCTTCCTGGTGTCGCTGCCGAATCCGGTCCCGTAACCGCGTGACCTCGGAGATGTAGTTGAACAAGCCATCAAACACACCCAGGAACATCCCCGCCTGCGCATGAGGAACAAAGTCGGGCAGTCGCAAATCGCCATTCAGATGGGCTGGCCGTCGGTCCAGGGAGGTGATGGCATTCGAGACATCATGGTACTGGAAGAATTCGACGATGAATTGCCGGAACTTCTCGTTGCGCGGTCGTTGTGTCACCAGTAGGTATCGGGCGGCGTCCATGTGCGGTCGGTACTCGCCATTGGTCTCTCCTTCACAAATGGTATTCAAACTGAGCGCAATGGTGGACGCAATGATGGGATCCTCGACCAGGAGATCAGATTCGCCCTCGGATGATGATGCTCTCGCTTTGGATGAGGCTGTGATGTTGTCTTTCAGGTCGCGAATCGCTCGATGGAAATGGTAGTATTTGCGCTCCTTCAGCATCGGCTCAGGGTCGAGAACAGACAAATGCGAACCGGCGAGACACATGAGCGAATGCATGAGACCGCGATGTTGTGTGGCCATGGGGAGGAGGATTTCTTTGAAGGGATTGGAATCATCGTTGATGAGGGTCAGAACGCGACTGAACCCAAAGACGAAGTGATCGAGGAAGCGACGATCGATTTCGGTTTCGACACCATCGATAAGGATTGGGAGACCACGAGGAATGAATGAGTTGGAATGGACCCGGGCGGCTAAAGAGAAAAAACCATCAGGTAAAGACTCCATTCCGGTTGGCGCCCGGGACCTACCATCCTCCAATTTTTGTCTCCCACTCTTCCAAATCTCCTTGGGAGGATACCCTTCGCAGACGACAGCATTCTTCTGACAATTCAAACACCTATAATCGGAGAATTCTTATCAGTTTCAAACCCGGGGAAATAGAGTACTGGCGGGGTGAAGTAAGGGGGGGGAGGGGCAGGCAAAGGAAATATTTACGCTGGTTTGGTCTCATCGCATTTCTTCTTGCGTCGCCTGCAAGTGACACAACCTGTCTTGGAACGACCTTTTGTGATCTTGACCTGCCCACCCGGCACTGGCAGAGGATGTTTGCGAGGACGACCCCGTTTCCGTGGAACATGAACGGGAGCGCCCGGTGGTTGATGCGTAGTCAGCGAAGAGTTGGTGGTTGGAGCGGTGTGGTGAGAGACATCCACCTCGTCGACTTCTTCAATCTTGGGAATCACAGCATCCATGGAGGAAGAAGGATCGAGATCGAAGATGTGCGACTGGTGAGGCTGAATTTGTTGTTGTTGGCGGTGGTGGTGTATTTGTTGGTTCAGCTGATGGTGGTGATGGGCAGCGATCAGACCAAAGGTAAAAGGTTTTGCCGCAGCGGTGGGGGTGTATTCGACTACCGACTGGGATGGCGCGCTGACAGGGGGAGCCGTCGTTGTTGTGCTTGGAGGAGGAGAGGTTTCACCATCCCAGGAACGAGGAGAGTCATCATCGGTACTGATACTGGTGCGATGAGAAAAGGCGTCGTCTGTTGTGGTGGAGGTGGTATTGGAGTCGCGACGGTCTTCTTGTTGTTGTTGTTGTTGTTGTTGTTGTTGAGGGAGAATGAAACCACTTTGCATGGATAACAAGGACATCTTGCGTTGTTAAAATAAAGATAATAATAACAAAAATCAAATATAGAGAAGGAAAAAGAAAAGAAAAAAAATGTCAGCCAGAAGAACTGACTTCCCGGGAGTGTAGGAGGATAGGATATTGGCGGGTGAGAAGAGAGAGAGAGTGTGTGTGTCAGAGTAGAGGGAGGGGGAACGGGACTAAGATCTCAATAACACGCAATCATTCTGTATATAACCAGGATAATATCACAGCAGGACTCCGTATATAGTAGCAGTACTGTTGTAGTTCCAGCAATAGTAATTGAAAGAAAGGAGAGGAGATCAGTACATATACCCAGCGCAGCAGCAGCAGTTCTGAATACACCAATCAAGTGGCAAGATTAACAACTCTTTTGGAGCCGTCGTCAGCCCGAAAAAACCAAACTAATGCAATGAATAATTATTACTCTGTACTTGTACAGGTATGTATAAGTGTGTCCCCTCCCAAAACTCTGTTGTCTATTACCAGAATACAGATTACAGGATACTCTTGTTTGATTTGTGCTCAGAATAAGCGAGGACTGTGGCCTAAAGAGACAAAAAAAAGCAAATATGCCCAGATGCACGGGTCGAGTACGCAATACGAGGCTACTGTAAGAATGCAGGTCGAACTGAGTTTTGACTATAAGAGAACCAATCCATCCCACTCTCATTTGGGCAGTGCGGGGTGTGTGTGTTTCATAGAGTTAGGCCCATGCACTACGGAGTACTCCATATATACGAGTATGCCTCGGTATGACCTCAACATGTACAGACCACACCGTACTTGTCTATATCTGGGGAAGTGGATCGATCTTTTACTAGCACGGACATCGGGTTGCCAGCTGTACAGAGTACTTGTACATTCCATAGCTACGATCAATGCAAATATCCGTAGAACTATTGTCCAGTGTGAAAGGAAGAATTGTCATCATCTGCCCTGTGCTCTGCCGCTCAATCGGGCAATGCATCCCGGTCCAAGCTTTTTGTACCGTACATGGTATAGTACAGTATCGCACAGTACCGTACAGTATCATACCGTACTTAACCATGATCGACTAGTTGAATCGGGTTAATGGTGGTATTATCGGCAGAAACCGTCTGAGTCTACCTGGAATGTTCATACGCCCATACTAGAGTCCATATCATTCCATGCAAGCACATCAATAAAGAAACAAAAGAAATATCGCAATCAACGTCACTAGCGGTGTAACGGTATGCACTCCGGATCAGAGGCCAGCATACTACAAGCATATACCTTGATGGGAATAAGGGTTTTACTTTGTTACCGTATTTGGTCCGTGACAGCGGGAGGGTCTTCCCGAACCAGATCGTACGGGGTGTTTGAGTTATTGTCCTACACAAAGTAATTGATTCTTAATAATCATGTCTCTTTGCCATGCTCTGCCATGCTCTGCCATACTCTGTTTGTTGTATAATCTGTACATACTTGTTGTGTTATGGAGAGAGTGATGGCAACCCCGCCAGACCACATGACCCCCCTCGTGTCGATTATCACCCAGCATGGAAACTGATCCGGGGGCGATCACTGCCTGTAATTACCGTTCGGTACGGGCTGTAAGTAAAGATGCACTGCGATCATCATGATTATAACTGCTCGTCTCTTACTGGCTGATCGGATGCTTTCCGGGGTTTGTAGATGCATTCAAGGGGGGTTTCATTCCGTACAGCTATCCCCATACACTGACATGCCTAACTGTCCTAGTAGAACGCATAGTGATATATCTATTTATCCAATACTCCTCCGGAGTACCTGGAGTATTATTGTACAAATGGGAAAGATCAAGATCCCGCAGGATCAGGGGCAGGGTAATATCCCGCTTCTTTGTCGTCCAGATGGTCTGAGCTCTCCATGCATCACATTCACTGCCGTGTCGAACGGGTGATTTCTAATAGCGGCTCGTTGATTCATCCATAGTTAACCATAACTTCTGCCAACTCACCGCAGATGTACCCAGTGCGTATACTCTGTATGCCCCGTAGATCACATGACAGGTCCGCCCGCCGTGTTCGAGCTGAATGCAAGTCATCTCGCTCACTCCGTACCTTGTACGGAGTTCTCTATTCTAACATCCAAGACATTATGACTAAAAGCTTCAACGCAGGAGATAAAATCTTTCTTCTGGAATATTTCTCCCATGGTTCTGACAGGTCGTCATTCCTGAGAGTCATGCTGCGGGCTTGTTCTCAGCTGAACGGGAGATCTGCACGGCTGACGGCGTTAAAAGGTCTTTCAATAACTCACATCCTGGAGAGAAGAAGTTGGTTTGGAACGGAATCAATGGTTTGTCTTTGTCGCAATCGATATATCGATTTACAATCTGGTGGCACCGACTGGCCCATGGTGTCATGGAGCTAGATCTGAGAACATGCCACCTTTGGGTAAGACCATGTGACTCTTACGCTGCTTTAATTGGATAGCTGATTGATGATGATAGATGTATCGATGATCCTCCACGAACTCAAAAATATAGTCGCGAACTCAGAGATGACGATCTGGCATGCCGGTCCGCATCCTCCTTGATCGATACATCGACGATAATACTACAGAGCATCAGCAGGGCGGGGGTTCATGACAGACAGGTCTCACATGGGAACTCAGAATTTACATTCATGGAATGCGTTCGATCCGAAGCGGCATCCCAGGTACCCTGGACGACTTTGCATGAAATGATTTGTCGTTTCTCAATACCACACAATGCGCTTGCTTCACAGTTCCGGCGCGATTTGACTAATTTGATCGGCTATGTGTGAGACACACACCAAACAGGGATCTACGGATACATTCCCAGTGCTCTTTTGAAATTTTACTGGACTCATGTCATTTGCAAGGAACAGATCATTCCAAGATTATCTCAGATGAACCGAGGTATGACTAGCGACTGGCATCAAGCATGGAAACGATTTTATGACCACTCTCAAATAAAGCAGCCTCAGCGCTCCATCTGTCATGTCAACAGTCATGTGCCTACCTTCACCTGTAACTTATATGCAGCGCTGTTGCGGGATGGTTCTCGGAGACATGCATTCAATTGGTTGGGTTACTAGAAATACTCGACAGACTTGGTACTTCATGAGAATATGTTCCAGTTGATTATCGTGCTGTATGTGGGTGATTAAAATGCGGCCAGTGATAACATGTATGGGCCTGATCATGATGCTGCTCATTGCCGGTTGTGCAACATTTTGCAATGTTCCGTGTAGTGAAATGTTTAAGATGGTATCGCGTTGTTAAGATGATTTCGCTCACATCTATATGTTAGTTAGCTTCCATGGCTTACAGAAATGGTTCATGAATAATAAACTTACATCTATCTGATTACACTCTCTACTATGCACCTACAGAAGGTATAAGTCTACCCGGATATGTCAAGATACTACTCATCATACAATCCACTATGAGGTTGCCCCCCTCACTGTCCATATTATTTTCTTTCTTTTCTTCCTTATCTTTCTTGTTCTGTGGATTTCTCTCCATTTTCACTTCAGTCCGTTATACAGCGTACTAGTTAAGTTAGTTAACTAGGGCATGGCATGCGGATGACTAATATACAACATTCCCTCTTCGTCCGAATTCGGTAATACTCTACCACCTCTCTACATCAACATCTCTCCATCTACATTAGTACTGTGCTTCTTAATTATCAGAGCAGTACCTGCCGACAAAAGGAGACTCGAAACCATACCAATATGCAGCGCAATCACCATAACATCACCCTCCGCCGAATGTCTACATCATCGACTCTCAATACCACATCACCTCCGGCCATTCCGCCCATCACCATAACAAAAATGTCTTCTTCTCAATTCCCATCTCTCCCCATCCAGAACCCCTGTATATTGCCAATTGACAAGCCCCAGCGGCACACAAAATGCCGCTCCTATACATTAGGGCCGTCGCCCCCTTCATGCCCGGCCACAACGCAACAGACGTAATAATCAACGAAATCCACTTCAACCGCACCGCCCTCGACCACTACAACTACACCCTCTACACAAACGGCACCCTCTCCAACGGCACAGACTGCTACCTCGCCTTCCAGCACTTCCGCCCCTCCATGTTCGCTAACAACGGCTCCTTCATCAATGGTACTTCCTGCTACGCGCCTATCCATGATATCGGCCGCCGTGCGGGTGTGGGAATGGGGTTCGCCTTACTGTTTGCTATCTCGATTATATTCAATTTAGTTGGGTTGAGGAAGCATGGACGAAGGTATTTGCCGCCGCCGGCGGATGATTTTGAGAGGAGGCTCAGGTTGAATTTGAATTTGCCGATTGATAAACGCTGGATGCCTGTTGGGAGGCGGTGGAAGTGGTATTGGTTGATTGGGTTGAGTGTGATTGGGGCTGTGGGGGCGTTTATGAGTATTGATGTGGATCGGGACCATGTGCAGAGTTCGCCGTTGGTTATTCAGAGTATTTTTTATACGCTTTTGACGCCAGTTATGATGGCGGCGGTTTGGGAGGGTGTGCGGCATTGGTATTTTTTCCTTTCTTTGTACACTTTATCGATTGATGATACTAACGGGGGTGATGTAGGGCAAGCTTTCAATACCGCCAAATTACATCCCGCGACCCCTACGCCTTTACGCAAAAGTCCACCCGCGAAGCACAAGAGCTATATATCCCGCTCGTATTCTACGTCTTCGCGTTTATCAACTTCTTCCTTGCCGTCCCGCGCAGCTGGGATAGCATCGAACTCCAACGAAGTCCCTCGCAAACCCTAGACCGCGCGAAACCCTTCGCCACAGACTCCCGCTTCAAAGCAGCAGGGTTTATGGCCCTAGTCGCGGTTGCTGTTATCTGCTATAGCCTTGAGCATAGTGTTTATCGGTACATACCGAAACCTATTTCCGGTACCAGAAGAGGAGCATGGGGAAGACAAGCCATGTTCTACATCCAAGGCGCACCATCCCAATACCTCATCGCGATCATCCTGCTCCTCATCAAAATCGCCTACGACATCGCCTCAGCCTGGGACTGGAATATCTCACCCCTCCGCTACAGCGTGCACCCAGGGTGGATATACGGCCTAGGCTTCACACCCGCGATACTACTCATAATACTATTCAACATCGTCGGCCTCTGCGAGATAAATGAAGACAAAGCAATCATCGCGCAGCGCATGGAAATCGAAACCGCACTCGCCAGCGATACTCCCCTAGGCAAGAAAAGTCTGATGGATAAATGGATTGGTCGACTTCATTTGCCCATGACCAAACATAAGAAACGGGAGAAAGAGGTTGAGATGGAGAATATCAAGAAAGATGACGGGGTTGAGGTTACCGCTGCGGAGAGGGACAGTCAGTCTAGTGGGACTGTGGCTAGGAATCCGTTTTTGGATAACAGTAGTGCGGAGGATTTTGTGGATGAGGTTTTTAAGGAGGTTGAGGAGAGGCAGCGGGTTTAGGAGTTGGTATATTTGTTATACCGTGCGCTGGTTGTTTTATCGTCTGGATTGGTAGGCTATGATATACCTAATTAATAATGTCTAGTATCTGTACAACAGTTCTGTGAGAACTTTTGCTTAGCACTGTAATAATGAAGACAACGAATCCTCTCAATATTTTCAGAAAAGCAGGCGGACAATAAACACAATCGCACAACGACAGACCAGGAAAAGAAATACATTATTCCTCCGCATTAAAAAAAAAAAAAAAAAAAAAAAAAAAAAGCCAAACATCGTATTATTGGCAAAGAACAAATCATCAGTCTCTGCATTGAGACCCCAAGCCTCTTCCACGCCGAGCCCTATCCCAGGAATAGGCTCTATTACCTATTATAACCGTTGATGTGGTTTCTTCAATTCGACGAAGCAAGGCTAACCATTAACATCCGTTGAAGATGTCGTAACAATGGAGATAAATCAATCACATCCAAAGCTCATGTCTAAAAATGGTTGTTTAATACACCCCTGGCACAATCCTCCACCTCACAATCTTCCTATATCTCTGCCAATCTTCCCCATACTTCTCTGAACAAAACGCATCATCCCTTTTCTCCCTATGCACCAACAATACAGCAAAGTAGACGGCATAAAGATACGTGAACAACATACCCCAGCCTCTCGCAGGACCTTGCAAAACCTGGCGTCCGTCCAGCATTTGAAAGGCCTCCGCTGCCACAGCATTCCCCGCAGGAATGATCGTATATCCCGCGAGTCCAGTCGCGAGGCAGAATGGAAAAGATTGCAGCCAATCACCAAGATAATTAATATGGCGTGACATTCCCCACCAACCGGCTGTGAGTAGTTTTGTGCCGCGTTTGGTCTGTATATGGGATAAATGAGCCACGCGAGGATCGTTGGGTCGTGTGCGGAAGATAATCTTCTGCGAGTTGGAGGCACGGAATATGTACAGTCCAAGGACAAAACATACACTCGTGATGACCATTTGTGTCCAGCTCAGAGGCGCGGGGTAAACCGAGAGATAGCGGCACTGTGTCGAATAGAGAAATGGCACCCAGACAAGATCACCGAAAGTGAGCATGAAACCCAGGCCATCCGTGGTGATATCCCTCATGGTTAGGAAACCAGCTTCGTTGTACTGCCCCTCAAGTACATAGTAAGATTGTATCGAAGTGACAAAGATCATGCTGCTGGAGACATAGCCATAGCTGCGATATTGTTTTGCCATGAAAGCCAAATCCAATAACATCCAGCCTGTCAGGCCTGGGCGCATCCCAAACCAGCTTTTGAGGTCCACTTCACCAAAAAAAGGCAAGGCGACTCGAGGGTTGAGCTCTCGGCCGATGAAAAAGTCATAGAACTGATTATCCGTATGACCAGCGGGGGCTAATTCGCGAAGCTCAGGGTTGGGGTAACTGCAATCGACGCCAAGGCTGTGGATATAGAGATAGAGTGACGCAGTAAAGCTAATAACCATGTTGGCCGTCAAAATCTCCACATAATGGTCGGTGATATATGTCCAAACGATGAAGTTCGCACCCTGACTATAAGTCCCGATTCCGCAAATAATCAGGTGAACCAAGCTTGTTGTGAAAGCTGAAAGATTTAGCACAGTGAAATACCCTGGTAAAGGTCACTTACCGTTTAGTCGATATTTCAATGGGCGGTCATGATGAACTAGCTTCGTACCATACACTTCTTGAGCAGGAAGCATTCTCCAGAGGGCCATGTTGAGCATGTAGTAGGCAAGCACGACAACGAATACACTGGGACTAGGAAAAAGCCAAATCCCGTCTCGCCATCCTGTTTCCACTTGAAGAGTCTCCCAAGAGAGACGTTTGGACTGTACCAATGACGGCACCGGACATCCAGTCAGGTCATTGCAGGTGACAGCGAAAACAAAAAGCAAGACTGGGAGGCCAAATGTGATAGCGATGGTGGCCCAGCTTATAATGTTAGCAACGAGTGTTTTCAATTGGATATCAGAACACTCACAGGCCACCAAATTCGTATTTTGAGACAGTAGCGGGTGGCATGGTTTGGTATACTTTGGGAAGTGTCAACTCGGATCCAATCTATATAACCGACTCTTGTGGCTATGATCGGATCCCGCGGCCGCGAGCATTGTCTTTTCCGCAGTGGCATGACTTGCATGCTGATGCGGTTGCGGATTCCGCGGGCCCCGTCCGGATGAGTGAGCTTAACCTCCTTCAACAAGGCATCAGCAACTTGATCGAATCGTTTTCTTTGACAGCTTGATGGACGGGTCAAGCCACGGGCGCTGACCAGGACAGGTAGCATGCCGTCGATGTGTTTCTGTGTTGAAGAAGGGGAATAAGGCATCAAAGACCATTTCAAATATAGTGCAATCAACAATGTAGTTACTCTTGAAGCTTAATACACACAGGAATAATCGAACCCAAGAAAAATACTGATTCATCATGCATATTCAGGTTAACTAAATAATAACAAACACCACAGGATGCAAATGATCCGACCCATGCTATAGTAAAGTAATGCACCTCTGTACAACGCCGGATCCTGCCCGAACCAACAATCAACGACCAGCAATCAACAATCAAAGAAATCAATCGTAAGACATTCTCCATAATGCGGATAACGCTGAATATGCAATGAAAGGACAAGAGAAAAGAGAGGGAAGGTGGTCAATTAGGCGGTGAACACTCGATCCAACTGTCGCAGTGCTCGCATGTCCTCTCCTCCAAAACCAATCTTGTCGCTGGGAATATCCCGTGGCCCTTCTGCGCGGATACCAGCTCCGTGAGGGCTCCCCGATGCAGGTGTGATGGCGGGCAAGGGACCTGGAGGGGCGCCGTTGACTAGCGCTTCGATACTGGGTACCGTTGTGCCTGTACTTGCTTCTGCTGTTCTTGGTGGTGGGTTTGGGCTGGCCAGGGGTAGTGTCGTCGGGGGCTGCTTCAGTAACCGCGGACTCACGGGTCTTGGTGCTAGACCGTGTTGCGGGGCGTGATGCGACTGAATCCGGGGAGAGACGCTCGTGACAGCTCCGTACCCCGAAGGGCTGCGTTGATGTGCATCGTCGACTAGCCGCGGAGAACGACTAGGGAAGACAGGCATGGATTGTGGTCCAGTAACCGGCACATTAGGAGGCAGTGCGGTTTCCATTTGGTGATGAGGCGGATGATGGTGGACGGGCCGTTCGTAATGATGAGGAAGACCGGACTGTGTTGAGGGCGGCGGTAACGAGTGATGTGGCTGTGCATATGCTACATGACCATTGGCAGTCGTTACTGGGGGAAGATACGAGGGACTGGGACCATAAGCGACTGGCATAGCCGGGGGAGTGCCCATCGGCGTTGGGGGCCATGCATATGGCGGAGTATATGACTGCGGATGACTAGCACCATGACGCGGATACCCGCCCATAGGATGTGGAGAGATTGTATATGCAGCACCGGGCATGGGGCCTCGCGTGACGACGGGCAAGTTCTGTTGGTCATTGACGGTCGATTCGGGATAGAGACCCTTTTGTGGTCGGACATGTCGCAGGGCGGGATCTGACGATGGTTGTTGAAGGTTGGCGGCGGCAGGATGTGATCGGGAGTAGTAGCTGATGAGATGGAGGTGTTGACCGGCGGAGGTAGTAATGCTGAAGGACTGCTTCATCAGACCGTCGGGTTTATATCGATAACCATCCGGGCCTTCATCGGGGCCTTCTCCCCGATCGTCATCGCTTCCCCGTGTGCTTTCTGGTGTTTTGCCGGCTCTGGAGGCGGACTGCGCGACATTGTTACCACCACCTCCCCGCTTGCCTTCCATTTCACGATATGTCAGGAAACTGCCTGAGACACGACTTGCGCTCCATGATTTGCCGTCTGTCCATCGTCGCATGCCTGCTTCGCGCTCATCCCATACAAAGACGGAGCCGGATCTGATGGATTGACGTTCTTTTTCGGAGAGTCGACGCTGAACGCGAGGAAGAAGGCCGATGCGACATGCTTCGAAGAGGATGATGGCGTCCGCGGGAGTGCGGACGTGGCCGTAATATGTTTCCATTCCTGTGTTTTCTGCTATCGATTGAGGTTAGGCTAAAAGATATATGTTAATCTGGAAGTGAGGACAGGAGTATAGGAGAGCAACTTACTGAGAGTCTGTTGTGTCGGTGGGGTTGACGGGAAGAATCACAGTCAAACCAAAGGGGTAAAAGAGGGGAGAGGAAAAAAAAAAAAGAAAGGGAAAGGGAAAAGAAAGTAAGACAGGAATCCAGAGGAAAGGTAGATAAGAATAAAGAATAATTTAAAAAAAAAAAATAAAATAAATAAAATTAAAAATTTAAATTTAAAAAAGAAAAAAAGAAAGAAACAATCAAGCTAAGAAAACCAAAGAGGGGTGCTAGTGTAGTCAGCAATAAATAAGGCCCGACCAGCGAACAGACTCAAATAAACGAAGGCAGGGAGGGTGGGTCTGTCTCACTGCCGAGAACAAGTTAACCTACACTTGTCTGGTTGGCACCGGCGAACCATGGGATGTGATATTACTGTATATAGATACCTCCAAGATCGTGGATCTTATTCATAATAATGTTATTATGATACCGTATTACGCGGTCTGATCGCGAATAGTGCTTAAGCTTAATTCTGTCGGACTGTACTCCGTACATCAAAACGATACTCTATCTGAATAGTACAGGTAGCGTAAATATATTACTCCATAATAATATAATTATAAATACTAAATAAATATTTATTTTTATATTTTATATTAAAATAAGCGATATTAGTAGATGGAGTGTAGAATAGGCATCAACATACTGTACCCATACAGCCTTATGCTCGTATTCGCCAACCAACGGATGCGCGCGGATAACATTAAGCGTATCGCCAACAAAGTGTGCCCCACCGGAATTAGTGGGAGTTTATTTACATACATACTCCGATACAATACTGTATTGCCATATCACAGGATCACATATATCACAGGATAAGCATATCTAATATCACACGGAAGCGTGTTCCGTAGTTACTACAGGGTATCTGTACAAATACTTATACTTGTACACTATACGCTGTTTTATTTAATACTACTCAAAGCTGTACTTACACTTGTACATGCATATGCATCCGATCATCCGAACGGCCTATTTGGTGGGGTAGCGATGGTGGATCTCGCGGTCCCTGCCGACTCACACACTTAACAGTTCTGTCCATGTACAAATATCTGTACAAGTACAAGTACTCTGTACAATATATCCCTTGCAATATACTACTATGCTTGTATACATACCAATGCAACTCTGTGAAACGTTACATGAGCTTATCTCCACATAATCTGAGACGGTCGATCATGCCATTATCGCCCATACGGAGTAGTATAGCAATAACACACTCCGTACTCATAAAATACAGAAGACACCCTGAACATCCAAATAAAAATACCAAGCGTCAATGCGCTGCAGAGCCAAGCATCCCCGCTTCGGGGTATGACACCTAAGTCCCCTAGTGGTAACATTATTAAGCCACTAGTCATATGCATCCTTTTGCCGTGCTACCAAAAGGTTGATCTATGTGCTAATAAATCTTGGCAATTTCCACGCTGTATCGTAATATTACCTAATGTCCTGCATAGGTAAGATCAAGCGAGAATAGAGTTACCGCCGAGTAAATGCCGAGTAACCTACGGGGGGCGACTTGACTCCTACCTATCGCCTGGATTAGCGAGCCCCCGCTGTCTCAGATCTGGTAGAGTACGGAGGACTAAGAGTACTCCGTGTTTATATCTAGGCTTATCGGATTGCATTAGTTACTGCGCTTGTACGTATACTTGTACTTCTACGTACAAGTAGTACGTACTCCGTACTTGTACATGCACTAATGTACATACGGATACTCCGTCCTCCGCGGAGCAACACAATAAAGTAACCCGCAGATCGGTGTCAACCATATTAACCTTACTCTCCCTCCCGTCTCGTCTGTGTTTAATTGCCCAGCAGCCCCCGCTTACTGCCACGTGGAACTTTCACAATACCGTACTATGTATAACCTGTTACTGTACTCCATATCAGTTTAGCGACTGCCGACTTCCGAGTTACCTCTTTGGGAACTCAGGGTCCTAGGCACGTAGTACCCATTTCAGCATGGACCACGAGGCACAATTCCAGAATTAGACTTTAATAAACTATTTGGTTCTGTACTGGTTACGGGTTACTGGGACTTCACGTCAATGGAGGGAAAAAAATGAATGGGTCTGCATAGTGTAATGCCAAGCTCGTGTCCGCGGTTGAGGTCGGCATTCACCGGCTAAGCTTAACTTGTCGTCTGTTTACCTGTTTATAAACCCCCTGTACATGTACAAGTTGAGATTTAGATTCATAAAATATACATACACTTCATAATCATGCTATTGTACAGCGCTAACAATCCGCCCTCTTAAAGTGCCGCGGAAACGCCACCACATCCCGCACACTCGACACCCCCGTCAAGTACCCCAGGAACCGATCAAATCCCAACCCAAACCCGGCATGCGGCGCCGTCCCCCACTGGCGAAGGTCGGCGTACCACTGTAGTTGGCCGAGATCCTCTTCCGGCGACAGGTACGGGTACAACGGCTCCTTTTCTTTTTCCTTTTGCTTGGCCGACTTTTTGGTTGCCTCCGGCGAGTCTTCCGGCAAAGAGGGGCGCGGTTTGATTAGGCCGCTCGAGCGCATGTTGGAAACGAGGTTTTCGAGGCGGTGCTCGCGGAGGGAACCCCCGGCGACTTCACTGACTTCTGGTAGTAGAAGGTCGAAGCAGGCGACGGTCTCCGCGGGAGTGGTTGTGTCAGGAGAAGACGGGAGCATGTAAAACGGCTTAACCGTCTTGGGATAGTCGGTTACGAAAACTGGACGACCCTTGCTGAGCACGTCCACGATGTACTTTTCGTGTTCCAGCTGCAGCCCCTCTTCCCATACTGGCGGGTATTCGAACGATGCGCCACGTTCTTTGACGGCTTCTTGCAGCGCCTGGATCGCCTCTGTGTACGTCATCCGCTGCCATTTCGGGCCGTTCATCAAACCATCCCACCTCTCTCCCAATGAGCTTTCATTTTCCGTAGATAGGACCTCCTGTCCAATAGGCGAATCGTACAGTCGACGAGTCAAATCACGAAGAATATGCTCGACCGAATCCGTCAACTCATCCATACTGTACATGAAATTCATCTCAGCCTCGAGCATGTAGAACTCGCTTAGATGACGGGGAGTATCGCTCTTCTCAGCCCGGAACGTAGGCGACAGAGTCCACACATTCCCCAGCTCTGCCGCGTATGCCTCGAGATGAAGCTGCGACGACACGGTGAGGTACTTAGGCGCCCCGAAGAAGGGTTTCTCCTCCTTTGATTCCATTGCTTCCCGCGGTAGAACCGTGAATGTCTCGCCGGCACCCTCGCAATCGGACGATGTGACCAATGGTGGTTGGACCTGCGTAAATGCCCCGTCTGGATGGGCCCGAAAGACATTCCCTAGCTGGTGTATGCATTCTGACCGGAATCGCGAGAGGAGCGAGTTGAACGGCGTTCGGAGACGGAGATGGGGGATCTGACGGAGGAAATCGGGAGAATGGTATTTCTTTTGGATCGGATAGGTCTGTTAACATAATTGTTAGCCAACGCTTACAACTGCCATCTCGTATAGCACATAGCTCACCTCTGGCTCCGCCACGCCCACACAACTCACGCCCGTCGTCTGAAGCTCATGGGTCTGACTCTTGCCCGGCGGGCAAGGCGTCCAATACCCAGATAACTGAACAGCTGCACCAGTCGATAGTCTATATCAAAGCCCCATCAATTAGTATCGAATAACCACAAAGACACAAACTCCGCGGGGAAAGAATCCTACTCCGCAGCCTGCTCCGGCTTCAAAATAGCCTGCACCGCTTCCAACGACGACCCATCCGAGATCTCTGCAAAAGCAAACCTTTTCTGTTTCCGCACCGATCGGATCAACCCCCTCACTTCGATTTGTTTATCCTCATGCTGGCTTTTCTCGCCGTGTTTGCTTTCGCGGAGGAGCTGCGCGCATCGGAGGAACGTGGGGCGGGTTGCGGTTGTCGGGGGGTTATGGTTTAGCCTCGCGACAGACGTGGCAAAGGTGCGTCGCCATGTCTGCATTTCTTGGATTGGGGGAGTGGATTGGGGTCGTTGTAACGGAGGAGGTAGTTTTGACTTTTGACGGTGTCCGCTGTTGAATCGGCGCGGTGTTCGGTCCGTTCCAAAAGCGGAGTTGAGATAGTACAGCTACGAACTTCAAAGGGACAAATTGATAAACTACTACAATTTCGTTTTATACCTAGAGTATCAAGCATGCATTTAACGAGAGATATATTATCGAGCATTCAAAACAAACCTATATAATTAACCTTTCCGTACCCTATAGAAGCAACCCTAGCTCAGAGGAAGACAAGAGCAAAATTAAACATCAATATCCCGAAACCTGCTGTAGCCAACACCAAAAGAACAAGAACAAGAAATCATATCATCATTATCGCCGTTGGGAGTACACCTTCCTCTCATCCTCAATCATTTCAATAGCATCAGCTACCTTGCCATCCGCTGCGGCTGCATAGACTTGGAGTCTCTGAGGCCCGCCTTCTTCAGCACCTCCGTACCCCAAGCTAACAAGAGTGTCCACACAGTCATCGACGCGGCTAATGGTAGACGGATGTCTCAAATTGCGGTCCAAAACTGGGTGTTGGCGCTCGTCTCCAGCGGGGAAGCTTCCAGGCATGTTACGATAAGAACTTCCTAAAGAAGGCGCCGACTGGTTGTTCTGAGGGTTAGATAGAAGAGTGTGGATCTCAGTTGCCCGCCGCCTGAGCTCTCTGGTTGCACTGGGGGTCTCCGTAGGAGCCATTGGATCAAAAGGACCCGCAAGCCTTGATGCTGGATGAGCAGGCATCATGGTGTTTGATCGACGAAGCAGGCGACTATCGTGTCTTCGGTGTTCCGGGCTTCGACGGGACCGCGACTTATCTGGGAATGGAGACCGCTGAGGAACAGTGTTTCCGGCCCCATTCGAAGCACGTGGGCTAAAATCCGACTCAGTGCCCCGGCGCTGATTAGCCACCATGTGCGCATCCAACTGGGAGACTGGTGGGAAGCGGCTCATGCCGGACTCCAAACTCAGGTGAGGCAGAGGGCTAGACGTTGGAACATTAGAGCGAGATGACCGCCTGCTAGATTCTGGGATAAGAGAAGGATACCGCGCAGAAAATTCTGAATCTTCATTATCCCGATCAAGCAGCGCCGAGGTTTCAGCGGATTTTTTTCCAGCTCGTGAGGTCTGATTTGGCCCCGTCGAGTCATCAATAAGTTGTCGAGGACCTGGTAGCTCCGGAGTGTTAGGAATAGCGCCCGCTTTGTTTGAATCAGGCCGAGAGGTAGACTGATCGTTATCACGCGAAGTCTGTACATCTGTGATGGGGATGTGGTCATTGAATTCGAGATTGATCGAATGCCCATCGATGAGAATCCCCTGCAAGGCTTCCAATGCTGCCTTGGCTGCGTGAATTGAAGCGAAGTACAAGTACCCAAAGCCTGCATGCTTCCTGGTTTGCCAGTCAAGTGGTAAATGTACTTCAACAATGAATCCTTGTGAGGCAAAGACATCTTTGATCATCTTCTCCGTCACGTTGAACCCCACATTGCCGATAAACAGCGACTTCTTTGCAGCGGTCCCATTTTGCGAGGAACCAGACGTGTCTGCCGCAGATGTTTGATTGTAGGAATCAGGCCTGGGGGCAGGAGCCCACCCAAATTGCCATGGTCGCGACTGTGGTGCGGGAGGTGGTGGGTGGTGAGAGACGCGTGACCACGGATGATGATGACGGGGCTGCCAGAACGAATTATGAATCGGGTCTGTCTGGAACGAAGGCACCGGTGGCGGCGGTGGAGGAGGAGCGTGGTGATGGGGAAAGATGTGATGGGACCGAGGTGGAAGGAGATGAAAGGGATAGCGAGGACCGAAGGGATGGGGAGGAGGCACTCTGTGAGGCAGATCAACAGGCGGCAAACCTGGACCTGGACGCGGCGGCGCCTGGAGTTGCTCGGGCTGCTGCGGCTGTGCCGAAGCACCAGTATTCTCATGCCCACCAGGATGTCTAGTGTCGCTTGACCCTTCCTTGACTTTATTGGAATCCAAGCTCTCCTTCTCATCATCAAAAGGTGCGTTTGGACGGGGCTGCTGAGTGCCGGCTGCGGTTTCAGGTTGAGACGACGCACGAGCGTCTTCATTATGACCTTGATCCTGACTTGTTGTGGTATTGCATGCCAATTCAGCCTCAAAGGCTTCAAACAAGGTTTGGCCCATCTCGCCAAGTTCGGACGCCATCGTTCGCAGACCATTCACAGTGCTGGCAGCCACGCCCCCGGGAGTATTGATGTTTCCTCCTTGAGCTCTTGCTGCTGCTGCTGTATTATTGAGAGCATCACTCAAAGTCCTCACCCGGGATTCCATAGCAGTGAGAGCTAATTGCAGAGTGCTCTCAACGTGTCCAGGAATTGCTCTTTGCACATCCCGGATTTGCTGTTCAATGTCTGGCATTCTTGACCTCACATCAGAACTGAACGTCCATGCACCAGATACTAAGTGGTGCAGAGTTTGAGCAAAAGAATCAGCTGGACTCTGTTGTCCATCGGAGCCTGCTGTCTGGTTCTGGCCTGCTGAAGCCGAGAGATTTTGCTGTGTATGCTGTCCATCATTTGAGATGTGCGACGCATCTAGGAGTTGGGCCAATTCAGTTTCGAATGCCGCCAAAAGAGGTTCAGGTGACTCCGTCGAAGCAGAGGTATGCTGATGATTGGTATCGACTGTGTTCTCACCATCGCGGGGGGGTGAAACAACACCCTCTGACTTCTGTCCAGCACCATTCACTTCTTGGTTTTGTAAGACCGGAGACTGAGTATCAAGTCCATACTTCTTCCACAGTTCGGTAACAGAGTTCGATCGACGGATATCGAATATATGCATGGGCTTATCATCGTTGGTACTAGCGGATTGTTGCGTCAACTGCGGCCGAGTGGGGACATCGACGGTTTCGTCCAAACGCTGGGAGAGCTCAAGGGAAGATCCAACCTAGCAATGTCAGCAACGAACCAGAGAGACAAGGACTTTTAAGTAAGCTTACTGTAATGACCTCACCGTCATCATCATCCGGATAGGTCAGCCTGGCTCTAGGGTGAGTGGAGGCTATCTCATCATAATCAGAAGACGATAGCTGCACAGTTCCATGACGTTTTCCCGGTTGCGAAGGTCGTGCCTGGTGATCGATAACTGTCTGCGCAGAGTTATTTGTTGATTCAGTCGAGTCTTCCTGTGGCTGGGGACCATGCAGGTCCCTTATCTGGAAAGGCTTGAGCATAGTTGCGATATACATGATGTTATCCAAAGTCAACCATGCGTCTTCGTATATTGTTGCAAGAGGTAGCTTTTCAGGATATTGAAACGATGGAGATACTAAGCAAGCTCAATAGACCGTTAAATTAAATAGAATGATCGTCAGGGCGTTCAGGAACGATTGTCGTTGATGAAGCTGCCGAGGACGACGTTATCAGCGGTTGGAGACGTTCAAACCAAACCACCAACAGAGGAAGAAAGAGACATAATAGCAGAAAGTAGGAAATTGATGAGAACAGAAGAGATCAAGTCCTCTTTTCTTGATAGATCCTGATGGCAAAAAAATGCAAGTCAGGCAACAGGATAAGATAGTAACGGTTGATGGGAAGTTGTAGCTTATCCCCGCGCGGTCGCCGAAAGAAAAAGGACTGAAGTCACGACACCTGCTGACGACATGCCTACGAGAGAAGGAGAGAGACCGACAACTGGACTTGAATGAGTATGCGACTCGTTTACCACGTTGTCTCTCATTATTGACTGTCTTCTCTCTTCGTTTCCTGTGTTTTAGAAAATTTTCGAATCCTGATGTCAATGAACTTGCGACAATCTAGAACGCGATCCCTCGCTCTACGACGCCGATGGCCTCAAACGATTACCAAAAACTATCGACTCAACCCTCCTTTGAAGACCTTCAATGGCTCCGAACGATTCCCCATCGACGCACCCGAATCCTCCGGTCGAACTGAACGTAAAGCAAGTCGTACTTGGCGACCTATCGTTCCAGACGTGGTACCAATCGATATACCCCGAAGACCTCGTGAGCAAGGACAACGAACTGCTGTACGTCTGTCGCTGGTGTTTTCGGTACTCCTGTGACGTCGACGCCTACGTGAAGCACATGCGTACCTGCGAACATAGGACGACACCTCTCGGGACACAAGTCTACGACCATGGAGGGTATTCGGTGTGGGAGATTGATGGGGAGGAACATAAACTGTTTGCGCAGAATATCTCGCTGTTTGCGAAGCTGTTCGTCGACCACAAATCCGTTTTCTTCGATGTCGCATCCTTCCTCTTCTATATCTTAACGTTCACCGATCCCAATGACCCTGAGAACTACCATATATTGGGATACTTTTCGAAGGAGAAATTGTCGTGGGATGCGAATAATCTGGCCTGCATCTTGATATTCCCGCCGTACCAACACAAACAGCTGGGAAAGCTGTTAATGGGTGTGAGTTACAAGTTGAGTGGTTGGGAGCGCGACACGGGTTTGATTGGGGGCCCGGAGAAACCCCTGAGTGAAATGGGTCATAAGAGCTATGTCCGTTTTTGGGAAGAGCGGCTGGCCAGGTATTTTTTGACGCGCTCGTGTGAGCACGATGACTCGGATGAGTCGCAGTCGCAACAGCAGAAAGGAAAAACCTCCAAGGGGTCCCAGAAAAAGTACCCTCAAGAACGGATATATGTCCAGGAGCTTGGCTACGCGACAGGCATGTTGACTGAGGACGTGATTACTACCCTGAAGAGCATGGGGGCCGTTGAACCTGATACGAAGCCTCCGAAGTCTAAACAGACACAATCGTCTGCAGAGACTGAAGAAGACAGTGGTCAGACGGTTATTATTCGAAAGTCCAAGGTGTTGGATTGGGCTAAGACTCATAAACTCACCGTGGGAGACCCTGTACGAGAAGAAGGATTCTTGGGTGATTATGTCCTGACAAGCGTACCGGAAGAAAGCACGATAGAAAGCCCAGACGAGGATGAATGATGTTTCTGCTTCTGTTACCTCCTTTTCTTTTCGTTTTATCGCAAATGGCTAGATACCTGTACTATTGATGGTTTATATAGACTTAGTATTCCTACCCCAGGGTAGACTAATCATGCCTGGGCGCATTTAATGAATTGTATGATTATTTTTACACTGAGCTAATTAATCAAGGAGCATGAATTGGAATGAGAATGTAGTCCATGAGTAGGCAATGATTGTATTTATCAAGTACATTTAGACATAGACTTTTCGATACTAAAAATATAAGGATGCCCAACATGAAATTATTCTTTAAGATCCTCTTTACACAAGGCACAATCTCCTATCTTTTGACTGCATTACTCCTCCATGCCACCTGGTCCGCCTGACTTGCCCATCTGCCTGGCCTTCAGGAGCTCATCACACAGGAGAAGGTTAGAGGCGATACCCGTGCTCGAGGCGATGCAATTACGCAACACACGGAAACTGTCGAAAACACCCTCTTGCACGGGGTCCATTGGCTGGCCTGTTGCCAGGTCCAAACCAACCACGTTGCCCTCATCACGCTCATCCTGCAATGCGGCAATAGCATCCTGGATGTCGTGTCCGGAGTTGGCAGCAAGGGTCTTGGGAATCACCAGGAGTGCATCGGCAAAAGCCTTGACACCGTCCTTAGCCTTGCCCTTAACAGACTTGCGGACCTTAGACTCCAAGTAATCGGCACACGCGATTTGGAATGCACCGGCACCGGGAATGACGCAGCCGTCGACGATGGTGTTGTATACCGAGCGCAAACCATCACGGACCGCGTCCTTAATTTGTGCGATAGTGTGCGCATTGGGCCCCTTGATCAGAATAGTGACGGACTTGGGGTCCTTGACCTCCTCAACAAAGGTGTACTTCTCTTCACCGAGTTGGTGTTCATAGACCAGACCAGCCCATCCCAAGACGTCAGGCGTAAGGTCCTCGACGCTGTTTTGGGCACTACCGCCACAGACCAACTGCAGACGTTCCATGTTCCTTCGCTTAGCTCTCCGGAGAGCGACAATTCCGTTCTTGACGAGGACATCCAAACTCAAGGGGTCAATACCCTTCTGGTTAATAACAACAAAGCCCTTCTTCGGGTCATTGCCACAGACCTCCTTCTTGAGTTCCACGATCTTCTGCAATTTAGAGTCCACGAACTTGCGTTCACTCTCAACAAGCTTATCCCTCTGTTCAGCGTTGGAATAATAGAAGCCAGAGTTAATCTCAGACTTTTCATATTCAAGACTGACGTTTAGTGTCAGGATGAAAGCATTCTCGACTCGCTTAGGCATATCGGGGTGTCTCGCACCGTGGTCCAGGGCAAGACCACGGATAAGTTGTGTGTCAGACGATACACGATGTTGCATCGTCATGGTTTCGACCATGTGCAAATCTGGCTTCTCGGGAGCCCGGTGGATAGCAAGGACGGCATCGACGATATCAGGTGTGAGCTTCTCAGCAAGGGCGCCGTTCAATTTCGTGGAGAGAGAGGTGCGAGCGACGGATAACAACAGCTCACGATCCGCATTCCGCGTCAGCTTGAACTGGTCGAGGAACTGTACAATAATTTAGATCAGCTCAGCCCGCAACAAGAAATCATATATGATTACTGACGTTCAATGCCTCTGTCTTTGCGATCTCATAGCCGTCTGTAATGACACGGGGGTGCAATCCCTCTTGGATCGATCGATCGGCCTGCTTCAGGAGCTCTCCAACCAACAAAACAACCGACGTCGTTCCATCACCGGTAATATCATCTTGTGCGGTGGCAGCCCGGGCAATCATAACCTTCGTCACATCAGTAAAGGGAATGTTATCGGATAGGGACAGGAGGGTAGCTCACGGCTGTCGGGTTCTGGATTTGCTGTAATGATTGTTAGCACTTGTGCTCAACCAAGCTTGAGGAAATAAACCAACCATCTCTCGAAGCAGCACATTTCCATCCTTTGTCAATTTGATCTAATTGATATCTCTGTCAGAAATCATATTCTGCAATCTCAGGGGCGAGAAAAGTTCCAACATACTCCGCCAGCACCATCCACAAGCCTAACCTCTTGTTAGCTATACCACGTTTTCATACAGCCCGCGAAGCAGGAACATACATCTTCAGGGTTCCCGACGGACCCAGGTTCGATTTGAGAACATCCTGGAGACCTTCACCGGCGGCGATGTTCACCTTCAGAGCCTCCCCTCTCCGCTGGTCATTGTCAGTGTGTGTTTTCGTGACTGAGGGGTCTGATAGAGGGGCGTTCTCATACTCTCGACTCGGCCTTGGGGTTAAGTAACTGGGTCGCAGACATCTCTGCAAAAAGGATAATCTATAGACAATTTATTCCACACTCAGAAAAAATTGCCAAAATGAACAGGTTTGCTGGCGATATCGACACCCAAAAAAGAAGCCCGCGCTGGTACTGAATGGTGTGTCCCGTCGAAGGCGGTGAACGCTTAGTATTGGCAAAAAGCCCACATTCGGTCTTCGCACTAGCGCCGCGAAAAAAAAGAGCTCCGACGTCTCGACTCTGCAAATCTTGACCTCCAGCATTTTCACCTCCGCGTCGACGCCCGGTCAAGCATATACAGTCGCAGACTTTTGTGTGGTTCGCGAAGGGGATCTGTCGCTTAAATTAAGAATCACCTTTTTTGCCTTGGTTTCCTTGAGTCCGTGACTCAATTTCGCCATGGCTGACTTCCTTTTGCTAGAGGGCCCTATGGGTTACTCGCTTTTCAAGGTCGCATTTCAGGGCGACAGCGTTGGCAATCGCCTGAAGGAAGTTCAGGAAGGTGTCAATGATTTGGCCAAGTTCGGAAAGATGGTTGACCTGGCGAGTTTTATGCCTTTCGAGTACGTGCCTTTTTTTTTTTTTTTTTTTTTTTTCCTTCCGTCGCGGCACCTTTGGTCTAGGAAATTTTACAGTCCGCTTACAAAAAGAATAGAAACAACAAGCAGGCCCTTAGTGAAATCAACGATGTTTCGGAAGGTGTTGCCTCTGAGACTCTCGTTTCTTTCCTCGAGTTGAATCTTCCGAAGCCGAACAAGAACAAGAAGGTTGTTCTGGGTCTTGCTGACAAGGCTCTTGCTGGAAGTATCAAGTCGGCATTCTCTTTCGTTGAATGTGAGACCGGAGACACCAGCGAGGTTGTTCAGGACATGCTTCGTGGACTCAGATTGCATGCCACTAAGCTGCTGAAGCAGCTTCGCGAGGGTGACATGGACACTGCCCAGCTTGGTCTTGGTCACGCCTATTCGCGCGCTAAGGTCAAGTTCTCCGTCCAGCGTGATGACAACCACATTATCCAGGCTATTGCTATCCTCGACCAATTGGACAAGGCTGTCAACACATTCTCGATGCGTGTCCGCGAATGGTACTCGTGGCACTTCCCTGAACTCGTCAAGATCGTGTCAGACAACCAGCGCTACGCCCAGCTCGCTTTGTTCGTGAAGGACAAGAACAACCTGACCGATGAGCACAAGCACGACATCGCTGCTCTCGTGGAGGATGATGAGGGTGTCGCCCAGAGCATCATTGACGCCGCCAAGCACAGTATGGGTCAGGAAATCTCCGAGTCCGACATGGAGAACGTGATCGCTTTCGCCCAGCGAGTCGTCAGCCTTTCTCAGTACCGCAAGTCTCTGCACACTTACCTGATCTCCAAGATGAGCGTCGTCGCCCCTAACCTTGCCGCGCTGATTGGAGAAACTGTCGGTGCTCGTCTTATCTCGCACGCTGGTAGCTTGACCAACCTCTCCAAGTACCCTGCATCGACCGTCCAGATTCTCGGTGCCGAGAAGGCTCTCTTCAGAGCTCTGAAGACTAAGGGCAACACTCCCAAGTACGGTCTTCTGTACCACTCCTCATTCATTGGCAAGGCCGGCCCCAAGAACAAGGGTCGTATCTCGCGATTCCTCGCCAACAAGTGCTCCATCGCTTCGAGAATCGATAACTTCTCCGAGCAGCCATCCACCAAGTTTGGTGAAGTCCTCAAGAAGCAGGTTGAGGAACGCCTGGACTTCTACGCCACCGGTGCTGCACCTACTAAGAACGAAGTCGCCATGGTATGTCTTGACCTCAGCCTCTTCCGATCTAGAGTATTTGCTAACTATTATAGAAAAACGCGATGGATTCCGTTCTTGCGGACATGGAGGACATCGACGAAGACATGGAGGACATCGTCGAGTCCCCCAAGAAGGAAGAGAAGAAAGAAAAGAAGGAGAAGAAGGACAAGAAGGAAAAGAAGGAGAAGAAGGGCGAGAAGGAAGAGAAGAAGAAGAAGAGGAAGTCGGACGCTGGCGAAGGCGAATCGGAGAAGAAGAAGCGAAAGCACGACAGCGAAGCCGAGCCCTCCAAGAAGAAGAAGAAGGTCTAAAAGCACCATTTCCCGGGACTTCGAGGGCGTCGTTGTGGCGTTGCATGGGTGATTTGATTTGATCTGATATATTTTCTGATGTTTTGTCGCATTTGGTATTCTTTTCCTTTTCTCCACGACTTGTTGGGCTGGGTACTTGTAAATTATTCGATTTAGGCCTCTCTGTCGTGCTAAAATATGTCTGTAGTTCCGTAAAATCTATTATTTTGGCTTATTCTATATGGTTTGCTCCTTGGTCACTTATGCTGTGTTACTCACGTTCCTGTGGTCTGATAAGCGGATTTCCGTCCAAAGACAAATGCTGACTCCTCCCTTGTCCCAACCCCCGGTGTCAATCATAATACTCACATCGGCGCCTCCAGCAATGACACTCGTCATGGCATCTCAGGAAGCTTACAGTCACACTGGCTGATGAACACATTTGATTGTTAAAGTCTGCTTAAATATCCGCTAAACCCACCACCTCCTCCTTCCTGAACTTATCGGTGTGAGCGCAACCCCGCGATTATGCCAACGACTCTACCGATGGCCTACAGCTCACCCAAGCGCAAACGAGTGACATACAAACCCAATGAGGATGGTCTGTCAGCTTCTTCGCCATCACCGTCTGTGCCGGAACTAAAGCTTCGGGAGGAAGAGAGTCTGGGGGGTAATAGTCCGCGAAACACTGTCGCGAGTCGCTTCGGGGAGTTGACATTACGAGGGGACCCATTTTCTGGCAGCGCCTTTGCTGAGGAGCCAACCGCGGCGTCTGTACAAGCAGCATTCTGGGATAGCTCACATAGCGACTCGTATGGCATGTCCCAAGCGCTTTCTGCTGGCGAAGGCGTCGCCAACTCGAGTGAACCATCTGAACCCCCCGCGAACATTCAGGGCCAGTCCGAAAATGAAGTTACAATAGCGCCTGCTCCGTCTACCCCGCAGCAGAGTCCACGGAAGAAAAGAGCACCTTCAGGGAAGCAGTCGACGCGCGCCAGACGGGGATCACCTCCACTTATTAGCGATGAGGGCGAGAACCCGCTAACCTGGCATGACTCCGAAATTACCGGCCACCTATTATCCGACCCTAATGATGATGGGTACGGCATCAACGGGGTTGGATTCAGACCTACGACGGCAATTGCTTGGGCCAGATCGCAGAGAAGGCAGAGGCAAGTTGCAGATTGGAAGAGCCGCGAGGCGCGAGAAGCACGAGAACGAAGAAGGGAAAAGAGGGAGGGTATTGAACAGGACAGGATGCGCACCGTACAAAATGGTGCAATACAGAAGAAAGTCAAATTCGATGTTTAAGCCTTCGACATGAAATACGATACCTCCGCACACTTTGCTGCATTTTTGAATCGAGCCTTTTCTTATATTCATTCTGGCGTTTTTATTATGGAGTTTTGGCTGCTTTAACGAATTTGGGGTATAAGAACAGTCAAGATCTGAAAAGGCTTGGAGTGTCTTCATATACATATCGTCTATTTTACAATTCATCCGCTCAAATTATACAGTGAAGAGGACCAAACGAACTCCGTGACGCCCTGGTGAAAATCGTAAAGCCTACCAAAACTTGTAGTTCGATGGGTTGGTCCAGCTCTTGCGTCGTTTCTCTTCCTCGGCCAAACGTGTGGCCTCCTCAAGCTTCTGCTCTTTCTCCCGTTGTTTCTTAACCTTGAGTTGGTGCATCAATTCGACTGCTTGCTTCATGCCATCCAATTCCTGAACACGCCGCCGTTGGCAGAACTCGTGCGATCCTAACGAAGTGATAGCGAAGGTGCCGACAGCCCAATTGGAGGCAGTCCATAACGAACGCATACCTAGACAAAATATTATCAGCCTCAAATTGCACCCAGTAGCAAAAAGGTATGCCAGTTTATACCTCTCAGAATAGCCCTGATACCCCCCACGCCAAACGCCGCACCAATTCCCAGCATCAAAGCATCGCGCGCGCAAGGCATCTTATAGAATGTCGTCAGGTCTTTGGTGGATAGTGACTTCATAGCGTCCGTGACCGTAGCTTCCTCCTTCTTGGAATTGGATACTGTTCCTGGCAACACATTCGCCTGGTCCTCGGGGTTCCCGAATGCATCCCATAGCTTTCCGACTTGCGATTTCGGTGCTTCATATTTCGGTTTCCGCTGCGATGGTTCTTGTGGGATGTTCTTCTGCGTTGCCTCAGCGACCGGAGGAGTCGATTCCCGCGTATCTTCTGCCATGGTTCAGGTATTGTCTCACAATCCTTTTGCTTTCGAAGCACATCAATGCCAATATCTTGAACCTCCCACTTGCGGGACAAATTCATGTGGGTCTCTCGGATGAATGTATACTCCGAGAGTGTCAATTCATCCCAAAGAGGATAGTTATACCGCTCTTTCACCAGCGCGCGTAGAAACGCGGAACGCGTCGGGATCGCCCGCAGAAAGGCGTAAGCCAGATTTGGACGCCCTGGGTTCGATGAGATTGCGTCCAACATCTTATACCATCTGCATCAGTTTTTACGCCTATTGAGGTTGATTTCAACGATATCTATGCTCCGCTAATACCCTCGCGTCTTCCATGTCCAACGAGACTCGTCCCTACATCTCATAAGCGACCCTAAGCCCCGGCTCCGGCGGGCGAGCGCACCGCAATGCCTTCATTACGAAAACCTACGAAGTATGGGAACAACAAGTTCCGGTCGGGTGCTGCGTCTTTCAATCCGAAACGAACAAAAACAGTCGAGTTCTCGTCTCTTCGATCCACAGAAGCAACATCGCAAGATGAGAAGTTCGAGGGGATTCGATTGGCGAACAGCATCGACGAAGCCATGGGCTTCCCACGCTTCGAATCCGGCGAAAAGAGAGAGGGGTGGTTGATCAACATGCACAGCACTTCGATAGAAGACTCGAATGTTCCTGGAGGTCGCGCCGGCGTGGACTATTATTTCCTCGAGGATGACGGTGGGACTTTCAAAGCGACCGTCGAATACGAACCTTATTTCCTTATCGCTGTGAAGAAAGGCCGTGAAGTCGAGGTTGAGGAATGGTGCAGGAGGATGTTTGAAGGACTTATAAAGAAGATCACGCGGGTAGAGAGGGAGGATCTCAACTTGCCGAACCATTTGCTAGGGCATCGCAGGGAATTCATGCAGTTGAAATTTGCGAATGTGAGCCATCTGCTGGACGTTCGCAAGACCCTGCTCCCGCTCGCAGAGAAGAATAAGAAGACTGTGAATGTAATGGATACATATGTAGAAATGACCAGGTGTGTTGAGGCTCTTGAAGACTATCTTTTCGTGTGACTAACAAATTGAAGCGCGAGTGCTGGCTTTGACCTTTTTGATGACGAACTAATTAATGAAACACGACCTAATGGAAATATGAACGCAAGTGATTTTATAATTGATATTCGAGAATATGATGTGCCTTATCATGTCAGAGTCGCAATTGACAAAGGTATGTACCACGACCGCCTACTTCACATCTGGGACCCTTAACTTATAGTCTTGAAGACATTCGTATAGGAAAATGGTATAGCGTGGAGGCGAAGCATGGCGTCGTCGGATTGAGCTGCATTGAAGAGCGACTCCAAAGAGCCGATCCTGTTGTTCTTGCTTTCGATATCGAAACGACGAAGCTGCCACTGAAATTCCCCGACTCCGTGATCGACCAGATTATGATGATTTCGTACATGATTGATGGGCAAGGATTCTTGATTACAAATCGTGAAATAGTCTCCGAGGACATCAGCGACTTCGAGTACACGCCAAAGTCCGAATATCCTGGACCGTTTATGATCTTCAACGAACCAGATGAAAGGGCTGTTCTAGAACGCTTCTTCGAGCACATCAAGGAGGCCAAGCCGACGGTCATTGCCACATATAACGGTGACTTTTTCGATTGGCCTTTCGTCGAAGCCAGATCGAGTGTTTTGGGGATCGATATGTACACGGAGATCGGCTTTCGAAAGAACAGCGAAGACATCTACCAGAGCGACCATTGCGTACACATGGATTGTTTCGCCTGGGTCAACCGTGACAGTTATCTCCCACAGGGAAGTCGTGGTTTGAAGGCCGTTACCGTTGCGAAGCTGGGATACGACCCCGATGAACTCGATCCAGAACTGATGACACCATACGCAAATGAACGCCCGCAGACGCTGGCCGAATATTCAGTTTCCGATGCTGTCGCCACATACTACCTGTACATGAAATACATTCACCCTTTCATTTTCTCGCTGTGTACGATTATTCCTCTGAACCCTGATGATACCCTGCGGAAAGGAACTGGTACCCTGTGTGAAATGCTTTTGATGGTTCAGGCATATCAGGGAGAGATAATCCTGCCAAACAAACACAAAGATCCTCCAGAATCTTTCTGGGAGGGTCATCTGCTTGAATCTGGAACTTATGTTGGTGGTCATGTCGAGAGTATCGAAGCAGGTGTTTTCCGAAGCGATATCCCTGTTACTTTCAAAGTCGACCCTACTGCCTTTGATGAACTGCTACGAGACCTAGATGCGGCCTTGAAATTCAGTATCGAAGTTGAAGAGAAGAAGTCGCTGGATGATATTGCAAACTACGACGAGGTCAAAGACCAAATAGCGAAACTATTGATCGACTTGCGAGACACGCCTAACAGAGATGAGGTGCCATTCATCTATCACTTGGATGTCGCGTCTATGTATCCGAATATTATGATCACGAATCGATTACAACCCGACTCCATGATCCAAGAGTCCGATTGCGCCGCCTGCGACTTCAACCGACCCGGGAAAACGTGTGACAGAAGAATGCCCTGGGCATGGCGTGGAGAATTCCTTCCTGCTAAGCGCGACGAGTACAACATGATTCGACACGCTGTCGCAAACGAGAGGTTTCCGGGCAAGACAAAGAATAGTCCAATGAGGTCGTTTGGAGACATGAACGCTGAGGAACAAGCAGCCATAGTCAAGAAACGGTTGCAGGACTACAGTAAGAAGATCTACCACAAGATCCATGACAGTAAGACGATGGAGCGGGAGGCCATCATCTGCCAACGAGAGAATCCGTTTTATGTGGACACTGTCCGAAGCTTTCGTGATCGGCGTTATGATTTCAAGGGTCAACAGAAGGTTTGGAAGAACAAGACCGATTCCCTCAAGTCGTCAGGTGCAGCTACAACGGAAGTCGACGAGGCCAAGAAAATGATCATTCTTTACGACTCTTTACAGCTTGCCCACAAGGTCATTTTGAACAGTTTCTACGGTTATGTCATGCGAAAAGGATCTCGCTGGTATTCTATGGAGATGGCCGGTGTGACATGTTTGACTGGTGCTCGTATCATTCAGATGGCACGAGAGCTTGTTGAGCGCATTGGTCGACCCTTGGAGCTTGATACTGACGGTATCTGGTGTATGCTTCCTGGAACATTCCCAGAAAACTTCTCTTTCACTCTGAAGAACGGCAAGAAACTGGGAATCTCTTATCCTTGTGTCATGCTGAACCACCTTGTCCATGGGAAGTACACAAATCATCAATACCAGACGCTTGTGGATCCGAAGACGTACCGGTATGAGACGCATAGCGATAACTCGATTTTCTTCGAAGTCGATGGGCCGTATAGGGCTATGATCTTGCCTACTTCGAAGGAGGAAGACAAGAACTTGAAAAAGCGTTATGCTGTCTTCAACCCTGATGGTTCTCTTGCAGAACTTAAGGGTTTCGAGGTTAAGCGGCGAGGAGAGTTGAAGTTGATCAAGATCTTCCAAACGCAGATTTTCCGTTTCTTCTTGGAAGGCTCAACGCTCGAGGAAACGTATGCGGCTGTGGCGAGGGTGTCCGATAGATGGTTGGACGTGCTCTACGATAAAGGTTCAACCCTCGCCGATGAGGAACTCATCGAACTTATTTCCGAGAACAGGAGCATGACCAAAACACTCGAGGAGTATGGGTCTCAGAAATCGACATCTATCACCACTGCGAGACGACTGGCAGAGTTCCTGGGCGAGCAGATGGTTAAGGACAAGGGTCTTAACTGCAAATACATTATTTCTTCCAGACCAAGGAACATGCCTGTCACCGATCGTGCTATTCCGGTTACTATTTTCTCAGCCGAGGAAAATGTGAAACGGTACTTCTTGCGGAAGTGGCTGAAAGACGACCCTGGCGACATGGATCCCCGAAGCGTGATTGACTGGGAGTACTATCTGGAGCGATTGGGCTCAGTGGTCCAGAAGCTCGTCACAATCCCTGCTGCTCTTCAGAAAATTCGAAACCCAGTCCCACGAGTCTCCCATCCGGATTGGTTGCAGCGACGAATTAATGTCAAGGACGACAAATTCAAACAGAAGAAAATGACCGATCTCTTTGGGAAGTCAGAAAAGAACCCCCTGGCGGACATATCAACAAACATCCTTGAGCATCGTGTTCAACATGCCGGTGACATGAACGAGGTCATTGCGTCCACGCAGAAGTCGAAGATGTCGCCAAACGAGAAGACATCGCAGAAACGAAAGCATCCTGAAGGCCTCCCCAAGACGTCTCTCGACCCTTACGCCAGTCTACCGGCGAAGATGCCGTCGATGACAGAGGACTATGTCGGGTTTCTTATGTACCAGAAGCAGAAGTGGAGGATTCAGAAGCAAGCACGTGTGCGTCGCCGTCAACTTTTCGGCGAGAAACCTAACCTTGCCTCTGATTCTCTGAGTAACTACTTCCGAAACCAGGCTGAGTTGCTCTACATTAGTACCTGGCAAGTGCTCCAACTCTGCGAGACTGGCAGACCTGGCATTGTGCGAGCCTTCGTCTTGATCGACCAGAAAATCCACGCCCTCACCGTCAAAGTTCCACGGCAGATCTTCATCAACCTGAAGCGTGACTCCCTTCCCGATGTCGACGTTCCAGAGTGTGAGGTTGAGAAGGTCAACCACACGTTGCCCAATGGACATCCTTCAGTCCATTTGTTCAGGTTGACATTGTCTGAGGATGTCTTTCTGCAAGAATCTGAGAAGATCGATGCGCTTCTACAACATCCAAGTATCGAGGGTGTCTATGAGAGGAACATTCCGTTAAATGTCCGTGCTGTGTTGAAGCTTGGTAGTGTATGCACATTTGACGAGGAGCAACGAGGAGTGCTTGGTGACGGATTGGACAAGGGCTTTGATCTCTCGGCGCTATGCCATGCCAACTCTGAGCAGCCTTACCTACTGGGTTCGAACATGGCCTATCATTATCTGTACCACGTTGTTTCCGGCGACAGGCAAATATTCGCTCTCTTTTCGACCACTAAGAGCGAAGCGCACATCGTCATCCTCAACCGCACGCGAGACGTTCAGGGTTTGCCCAATGTCGACAAGATTTACACGGAACTCCTTGGGCGCAGAACGCAGTCCATGGAGGGTGACCTAACGGAAGGTGCATTCCCGTACCAGGATAAGATCCATTTCAGAACTACGCAGGTAACGACTCGGAGGAAAGCTCATTTGGAGGTTGGAGACCTGGTCAAGAAACTCAGAAGTGACGAGAGCATGCCCGCTGTCCTTGTGATCCAGTCTCAGCAGAGAACTCGCCTGTGCCACGACATCCCGGTTTTGAAGGAGTATCCGATTTTGCCGGTGAAGCCTGAGATATCGGATATGGATCTTCCTCCGCTTGGCTGGCAATCCTTCATTGCGAGACGAATCGTTACTCACTATTTGTATCTGTCTGCCTGGATTGAGCACCTGACTCTGCTTGCAAGATACGGGGATGTTCCTCTCTGCAACTTAGAAAGTGACGACCCTCGCTATCTCATCGACATATCGTACGCAAGACGACTTCAGCAAAACAACGTTGTCCTTTGGTGGTCCGCTGGCCCACGGCCCGACCATGCAGGATACGAGAGAGACGATATCCTCGGCCCTCTGGAAAGGGTCAACATGCCCCAAGTCAACATGCCGGGGGCTTACTCGACCGTGTGCATTGAGCTAGAGGTCCGCAACCTTTCCATCAACACCATCCTCACCTCTTCGATTATCAGTGAAATGGAAGGGGCCGATACGCTACTGGCTTCAAACGAGCCATCGGCAGAAGCTAACGGCTCTGGCGTTCTCTACTCGGAGAAAGCCTTTGCTTCTGCTGGTGCTCTCGTCTTGCGTGAGATGGTGAAGCATTGGTGGACGGAAGCCTGTGAAGGGAATAGTATGGCTGATATCATGGTGCAGCATCTGATTCGATGGGTGGAGAGCCCGAATTCATGTCTTTACGACCGCTCGTTGCATCATTACGTGCGGATGCTGTCGCGGAAGTCATTCCAGCGCCTGATGGTTGAATTCAGACGTGTTGGGTCGAATGTTGTCTTTGCAAGCTCCACGCGCCTTCTTCTCCAGACTACCAAGACCGAGGTCGGGAATGCTTATGCATACAGCCAATACGTTCTAAAATCCATCAGGGCGAACCCCTCGTTCCACTTCATTGATCTCGAGATCAAGGAGTACTGGGACTACTTGGTTTGGTATGATGAGTTCAACTACGGAGGCAAAGGCTGTCAGGAGGTTGTCGGCGACGATGAACAGCAACTGGAAACGGTGATGCATTGGCAACTCAGCCGTTTCCTCCCAGCATCAATGCAAACCATCTTCCATGATTGGGTTGTTGAATACGTCGAGTTGATGCACGCTGTCAAACGGCCCGACGACGATGAACTTTCGTCGACCCCTCGACTGACGCAAATCCCTCGCCGCTTTGATGAAGCGGAGAACGACGAGCTTACTTCGATCTTGACGGACCGGTTCTCGAAACCGCTCAAAAAGCAAATCTCCGGCCTCATCCGCCGCCAGCGTGATGAAATGCTACACCCAGAGCTCGCATCCGACTACGCCTTCCCGGTTCTCCCCGGAGTGCTGGTGGACCCTAAAGACGACAAGCGCAATCCCGCATTGGAATTGGTGAAACTTCTCATGCAGGTTCTGAGTCTATCCAAGATGACCACGCTAGAGTCACGCCTACTCCGACGAGAATTGTTGGCCCTGTTCGAAGTCCGTGAATTCAGCAAGGAAGGTCGCTTCGAGAACCCCAGTGCAAGCCTGAAACTCCCCGAGATAACGTGCAATGCCTGCTGTCTAATCCGAGACCTGGACCTCTGTCGTGACGAAGACGTGCTTCCCGACCCGGAGTCAGATACGAGCAAGGCGGCTACTAAGCCCTGGCGCTGCCCCTTTTGTCAGACCGAATACGACCGGTTGGCGCAGGAGGAAACCCTCATCGGCCAGGTCCACGGTATGATTGCCGGTTGGGCCGCGCAGGATCTCAAGTGTGGCAAGTGTGGTGGGCTGAAGATTAGTGATTATATGGAGCACTGCTCGTGCAGTGGTGCCTGGGTCGAGACTATGGATCGGAAAGAGATAGGGAAGAAGCTTCGGGTTCTGGAGAGCGTGGCAAAGTTCCATGGGCTCAAATTGCTGGAGAATGTCGTGGAGGAAGTGCTAGCTCAGATATAGTCTGCTGTTTTATTTTTGTTGCCTTTTGTACAGTTGGTTGGATTCATATGGTGTTTTCGGTAGTATATACAGCATTGAACCTGGGCGTTCAGGAACGGGTTATTGGCGGGTTATTGAACTTTGAACTCTAGATACACACAAAATATAATGCATCAATCCATTCGTGCTATTGAATTACTGTAGAGAAAGCCTTGCCCTGATAAAGTATTTGGATTAACCGGGCGATCCACAAAAACAGCCTCCAGACCATAATCTTATATTTCAGCGACAAAACTCCTTTCTCCTGCTGTGTTAATTTAATTCCCCATCTTCTTGCTGCTGCTGCTTTTCACTGCTTTTCATCCGGTTCTGCTTCTTATATAGACCGTCGACTACGTGCGAATCGCCGACTCGCTGCACCTTCCCTCCATCCCAACCACCACCCCGCACAAGGCTGCTTTCGCCGCACTGCGATCACGAATCCCGAAAAGGGAAGAAAGCGATAACCACTACGGGATATATTGTATATAGATCGGGGCCGAAAAAAAAAAGCAATACTCGCTAGTGTCTATTATCATCAGAGGTGAAACCCCCAGGATCTTCGACGCCCGATTTGTCAGTGCGCGCTCTGATTCCCATCTGGCCGATCTCGCTGACGGAATCCAAGATAACAGGAGAGAGAGCGAAGCGAAGCAAAGCAAGGCCATATCATAACACTCTACGCGCGCGCGCAACAACGATACGATACGATTTATACTCCGGTTTCGATTCCGATCCCTCCTCCCTCGAAAACATACTCCTGCCCCATACCGTCCGATAAATGGCTTCACAACCGCAACGGCCCAAGGTCCAGCCTTGTCGATACAAAACCGGAAAGACGCTAGGAGCTGGCTCCTATTCCGTCGTGAAGGAATGTGTGCATGTCGATACGGGTCGGTATTATGCGGCCAAAGTTATCAATAAGCGGTTGATGTCTGGTCGGGAACACATGGTAATTTCGCGCAGCGCTTTTGTTTGATAAGATTGAGATTGGGAGAAGAGGCTGATGGGATGGGCTTGCTGAGGCCGGTTGATTGCAGGTTCGGAATGAGATCGCAGTGCTGAAGAGGGTGTCGATGGGTCATCAGAATATTTTGACTTTGGTCGATTATTTTGAGACTATGAATAATCGTACGTCCCCTCTACTGGAGCGTCGTGTTAGCAGATGGTGATAGAGGTCTAACGATTTCTCGGTTTGCAGTGTACCTTGTCACCGATCTCGCTCTCGGAGGAGAGCTGTTCGACCGCATCTGCCGTAAAGGCAGCTACTACGAGTCCGACGCTGCAGACCTCATCCGCGCGGTCCTCTCCGCAGTGGCTTATCTGCACGACCATGGTATCGTTCATCGCGACCTGAAGCCAGAAAATCTCCTGTTCCGCACCCCAGACGACGATGCAGACCTGTTGATCGCAGACTTCGGTCTGTCGAGGATCATGGACGAAGAGCAATTCCATGTCCTCACAACGACATGCGGCACGCCGGGATACATGGCTCCCGAGATCTTCAAAAAGAGTGGCCATGGAAAGCCAGTGTATGTCCTCTCACCCGGTCCTTTTTATAGCACTTGCTCACGCAAAATCATAGTGACATCTGGGCCATCGGCGTGATAACCTATTTCCTCCTATGCGGTTACACCCCCTTCGACCGCGACTCCAACCTGGAAGAGATGCAGGCCATCCTTGCAGCCGACTACTCCTTCTCCCCCGCCGAATACTGGCACGGCGTCTCCCAAGCAGCCCGCGACTTCATTAGACGCTGCTTAACCATCGACCCCAAGGGCCGAATGACCGCCCACGAAGCCCTCCAGCACCCCTGGATTGACCCGCCCTACAAAACAGACGCGACATACGTTGGCTCCGGCCAAGACCTCCTCCCGACAGTCAAGAAGAACTTCAACGCGCGGCGGACGCTGCATAGAGCTATTGATACCGTCCGGGCTATTAATAAGTTGCGTGAGGGTGGTGGGCTTATGGTTGATAATGTGATGGGTGTTAATCCGAAGCCGGAGCGGGTTAATGGCAGTGAGATTGTGGAGGAGCAGCCATCGCAGCCGCCGCCGCAACCTGTGAATAAGCATATAGATAGCCGTGGAAATGCGCGGGGTCAAACGGAGGAACAGATTAAAGAGCAGGAGCGGAGGGTTAAGGAGATGGTGACTGGGTTGTGGAAGGGTTCTGCCAGGAGATGATGGTTTACGCTTTCTTGATTTGGTTTTTGTTTATATTTCAGCATGACTGGTTTATGTTTTGAGGCTTTTTGATATCAAATTGACTGCTTCTCTGATGAAGGGGGCACAAAATGGCATTGGAATTATATTGTGAGGGGTCGAGTTAAATGGTCTGAATCAAGGCATGAGAACATTGAAACCATCTCTACGATAACTGAGTAAGGATAAATGCTTGACATTAAGGTAATCCAATTAAACGCCCTAACCTTCCATAACTTCATGACCATAAAAATAAGGCGGGTGTAGTTCTATCCTTCTATATCAGACCGGCTGAATAGTTCAGTTCTCCAACAGCTTCTCCCGGCCATCATCCAAAGACAAAACCCAGTTCCTCCACTCTTGCCATTCAGCGTAGCCGGCACTAGCTTTGAGTCCCTGGTACTTGACTGTTCGGAAATCGGAGACCTGCTCCCATGGTTTACCCGAGCTCGAGCTAGGCCTGCTACTTCTAAGCAGTCTTCTAGCAACGCTCCCTGTCGCACCTGTCGAGCCATCCCACCCAGCCTTGCGCATCAAACTTTCCAGAGTCTCTTCTTTGCTCCAGCCTTGTTCTACCGGGACGTCTGGGAGGTATGTCGCGCCGTAGCGTCTGCCGCGTTGGATGAAGGATATCCGTATTCCGTGGGTTCCGAGGTCCCAATCCATGGCATTCGTGCAAGGCTCGAAAGAGCTCAGAAGGGTCAAGGAGCACGACAACGACGGAAGTAGGGATTCAGGGATTGGATTGAAACGGTGATCATCGAATGCCCTGTTCTTCCGTTAGTATTGTTTGCAGGAAGAGCTTCATTTGCCAACGGATACATACGACGTGAGAGCGTAGGACCTCAGACCTGCAGAAAGCTCATGCGCCTCGAACGTACCGATACATCCACGTAGGACCTTGTTGTCATTCTTCGACACTGTATTCCACGTCACAAACAACGGATGGTGTCGCTCACCCTGTCTCTGCTGCCTCTGGCCCGCCACATCGGAACTCGGAGTCGTCACGGAGGTAGAACCAGACGAAACGGATTGAGAAGACGGCGTGGACGCACTGGACGAGTTTGACGACATCTGGCTCTGGAGACGGTTGATACTGGGCAACTTGATAGCATTGGGCCGGTTCAGCTTAGCATTTGAAACGCCACCCTGGACTGCATCGCCTTCAGCATCCTCGCAGTCATCTTCGGCGATCTGCTGAGGGTCGTCATCCGTATCTTCGAGTGTGGCGAGCTTTTTGGCTTGCTCGTGTTGTTCCCAGAGGTCCTCTAGAGCTGGGAGACTGATGGGCTCATAGCCCCCAAAGGACGCAGAAAGACTCTCAAAGCAAAAGTAGCATTGAGCCGGGTTTGCCATGTTCAAATCAAAGATACCTCAGGTGTCTATTCCGAACAACTGCAGTATGCAAACGAAACAAGTAAACAACAACACCTCAACAACGCAAAGCAATTCTAAAACACGTCTCTAAGTGAAAGAAGACCTAACGATTCCCGTGCACGCAAAATACCTTTCTGAAATCAGACCACAAGGTCAAGTCCGCAGGAGAAGAGGAAGGAACAAGAGGCGGGGAAGAGAGCGGCAAATGATAAGATATCCGCACGTGATGCATTCGGGGTATTATCCCGTGACAGAAGTACAGTAAGCATTGATTATATAAATTTACATTGGAGAAAGAAGGCAGTAGACTTGGTAGTATCCAATCATTGGTCATGTTTACTTTATTCGTGGGTATAATGTTGTGGCACCATCTGGTGGCAGTGGTGAACTATACGCGGATGTATATACTCCGCACTGTGCTCCAATCGCATTCATAGCAATCGAATGGTAGGACCAGGACGGCCCCTTAACTTAGAATGTCTGAGCCTGTGCCTTCGAGGAGAAGGAGGTCTATTCCGGTGCAAGAAACCTTTTCTTTCAACCGGCTTCTCCAATTATCTGCGAGTTGAGCCAGATCGTGGATAATGCCCGCGCGAGAGCATGGAATATGTATAGCCGTAATTCGTATTCTGAAGGGCAAGATTGAGCCCATGTTTCTTAGAAATTCTCAAATCATTCGTGGCGATCGCCTTTCGGTATAGGAAGGTTCAACATAGAGAGCATGTTCCCTGCAGGACCTGCAGCTCCTCCCTGACCTTCAAGACTCTCCAATATGTTTTTGGCGAGATTGATGTTGGGATCCTCATCCTCGTCAACATCTTGCTCGTTTTCCTGCTTATCGTCCTCTTTAACAGCCGGCTTTCCGGCAGCCTTCTGAGAAGGACGATTCAAATCGAGCACACCTGTACCCTTCAGCTCGGATTCCATCTGCCTGGAAAGTTGCTTTATGGCATCCGTATCATCCTCTTCCGAGTCAGTGTCCAGTTCCTCCACCCTCTTACTAGAGGATGGCCCGCCCTGGAGACCGGGCATCGAAGATCTGCCCATCATTTCTTTCATCATCTGGGAGAGCTTTTCTTCGTCCATGGGGGCTTCTTTGTCTTCATCACTGCTTATTTCATCATCATCGTCCTCTGCGATATCAGAGTCAGAACCAAAGTCATCAATGAAATCAGCACCATCAAAGCCGGCTGAGTTATCGCCCAAAAATTCTTCGAAACGAGCCACAATGCGCTGAAGATTCTCTTGAGCATTGGCATCTCCAAATGCACCTTCTTCCTTGCTTTCATTCCCTTGGCTCTTGTTCTTGCCTTTCAATTCCCTGTCGAGATCTTCAAAACTGATATCCAGCCATTTTTCATCATCATCCCGTTTATCCCATTTCCCAATTTCCCCGTCTGTAGGGAGACTCTCGTCGCCAGAATCCAAATCCTCCAACAGAAGCTTAATCTCCCTAACTACAGGCTTGTCTTGGTTTTGGGGGTCTGAGAGTAACATTTCAAATCCACAAGAAAGCTTCATCCCTAGCTCTGCACGATCATAGGTCTTGAGGTCATCTTTCGAAGGCAACGTTCCCAACCAAGCCTTTGGTGCTGGAAAGTCTTGACTCCTGAGTTGTGCATAGCCAACCCTCGTGAACCGGACGCTAACCGTAGCAAAATCTTCTGGCTTGAAAAGTAGATCACTGGTATCCTTAGCTCGTAGAGGTCGCAGCGCAATCGGATCACGTAGGTAAAACGCCTCGACAGCCGCTGAGATATAGGCTGGTTTCTGATGCAAGAGAAATGCGACCTTGCGGGGGATCGTCACCAATGCTGAGTGGAGGTTCTCGCTGATTTGTTTGGGATAGTTTCGCAGTCGATAAAATGCTTCATTTTGGATCACAGCAGAGCGCATGAGTCGTTGAGGTTCCTCCACGATAGCCCGCCTTGACTCCGGAAGCGAAATCTTCTCTGCCACTTTCTTCTTCGAGGGGTTCTTCGGTTGAATTATGACGAGTTCTCCTTGATTGACCCATACCTAGCCAGACTCCTTAGTAAAAAAAAAAAAAAAAAAAAAAAAAAAAACCAAATCGCATGCACGGGAATCATAAGCACTCACCCTGTTGTCTGCTATTTCCGGCTCAAGCCAAGCAGGGAGCACGCCGGCGGCCTCGACCAGGAGAAATTGACCGTCGCTGTCGACAACTTGCGCCCATACGTTCTTATGTTTCTTTGTCAATTCGCGCAACAGGTAGACGATAACCCATTCATCTTCAATCGAGTCTCCGTAATTTGTACGCCCGTTTAGTGAGGTGACGCCTGCGTATAACCATCACGACGTTAGTACCTTATCGTTCAGTTTTGGTGAATAGAAAGGAGCATGTTGTACGCACCATCTTGTTTGGCAATCTCCAGGCGAAACCCATCGCGCTGCCAAATATAATCCTTCAAAAGCTCTCTTGTCAATTCTGCTGCGGACCGTTGTACCTCGACTAATCGCGATCGCGTTTCCGCGGCCTCATCAACGGTGGCGGGGGCGGGGTTGGAAGGGATATAGTATAGAGAGTATTCGATGCTATCATCGGGGAGCTGAGGCTTCGGAATAGGACGGAAGGTAGACTTGAACCAATCGATATCCTCTTGCGACGTGGGCGCCATCGCAAACAATTAATAGTGTCTTCTTCTTTTCTTGCCGTGAAGATAAAAATTACGGGCATGACTTCATACCAGACGATACGCGGCGAATCACGACCCACTAATCCCGTGACTCTTGGCGCTAAACCGTTTTAGGCTAGACATCAACATAGGCATGTCACCGCCCAAAACAACGCCTGGCAAAGCGATTCTCTCTCCGCATGCTTTGCTTTTCACGGTTCCGGCGCTCCGTCTCGGGAGGTTAACAAGATTTTATATAGCAATGGTCGCGTGTTGAATGGTATCGAATACTCGATTCGCTTATTTTCAGCCAATAAATCGCGTCTCCCGCGTCGACAATGGCTTACCCATACATCGATACTCCGCGCACCGAAGTCGACGGCAACGCGACTTACCTCACGAACGGCTATCGCAGCGCCGGAAGAACGAACCTTTCAGCATTAGACTCGGTCGAGAACTCGTTTCAGACACCCTCGAAAGATGAAGATGTCCTTAAAGTCCTCGATGCCGGGCGACGACGGAGTTCCGGAGGTTTCAAAATCAGCACGCCGCGTGCTGGTAGCGGGCCAAAATCGACGAAAAGTGCGTTGAACGACCGACGAAACCTTCCTTCAGCAGCACCAGCGAAGGGTGAATTCACACCGATGATGAAGAGCGCTACGAAAAACAACTATCTTAAGAATATGTCCTCGACGCGAGGGGCAGGAGGTCCCAAAACACCAGCCTACCTCAGAGCGAGCTATCGCAGCAATATCAACACGCCAGGACTACCGCCTCTCGAAATGACTGGCATTGATGAAGAAGAGGAAATGGACGACCCCACACCACTCCCTCAAGTCGCGAGCAGCAGTCCACAAAGTACGCCACTACCGTTTTTATCAGGGAGAGACGGGGGAGGCGCTCTCAACGATGGTCAAAATATGACGCTGAAAGAGCAGGAGAATGTGAGTTCATGGCTTGTGTTTTCTGCTCCGTGCTTTGTGGTAAGCCAGACAATGAACAATGGGCGCTAACTTTCCACAGATCATTGACAAGCTCGATAAAGACAATTTCGGTCTGAAGTTAAAGATCCATTACCTACAAGAGCAACTCGAAAAAGCCGGTCCGTCGTACAACCAAGCAGCGCTCCGCGAAAATACCGAATTGAAGGTGTCGAGAATGACAATGCAGCGAGACATATCGCGGTACAAGAAGGGCCTTCAGCAAGCGGAACGCGACTTGGAAACGTACCGCTTGCAATTCCAAGAGCTTAGGGAGAAATATAAGAAGAAGAGCATGGATGATACGATTCAGCGCGACATGGACCTGATGCGAGAGGAAATCGAGACAAAGGACGCCCAACTCAGAGATATCCGAGAAGAGCTCCGAACCGTAAAGGATGACCAGTCGCAAGACATGGACAAACTCCGCGATGATATCGAGGACCTCGAAGCGTCGTTGAGAGAGAAGGATCGCATGGTCGATGAGCGTGACGAAGAACTCGAGGAACTGAGAGACAAGGACAGTAAAGAGCACAATGCCGTTTCTGAACTCGGGTTTGAGCTCCAACGCGCGCGAGAGCAAATGGAAGAACTCCAGGATATTCTCGACCATGCAAGATCGGAAGCAAGAGAAGCGAAGGAAGCCGAACGCCGCGCAGTGGAAGAACAACAACGAGCCGAGAAAGACCTCAACGAACTGCACGAAGAGATGGCGAACAAGTCAATCAGCACGAAGGGTTTCAATCGCCAGCTGGAAGAGAAAGCGAATAGGCTGGAAGACGAGCTTCAAGAGATACGGCAAGAGAACGATGCTTTGAAGGGAGAAGTCGAGCAAAAATCCCAGAACGAAGCTCATCTAGAAGACCAATTCGAGAGGATCCAGCAAGATATGGAGTCTGACGAACGGGACTTACGGCACGAACTTGAACAAACACGGCGTGAATTGGATTTGGTTCAGCAAGAGCATGAGAAAACGACTGCGCACTTACAAGATGCCCTCGATGACTTACAACGCCATAGTGACGAGAGAGAACTTTTGCACACCCGACATCATGCGTTGACGGATGAGTCCGGTGGCCTGCAACGCGACCTCGCCCAAACACAATCCAAGATTCGAGAACTCCAGCAGGCGGTAGAGAACGAGAGACAACGCGCTGTTGATAGTGGGCATGATGTCAGAACGCAATACGAAGACGATATCGAAAAGCTACAGGAAGAAATCGAATCGCTACAACACGAAATCGAGGATAAAGAAGGCCACTTTGCACTCGAGCAGGAACAGTGGGAGAGCACTAGGCGAACCTTGCAGCTACAGAAAAACAGGGCAGAGGACCAAGCGGCTGGATTCAAGCGCACCATCGACAGATTGGAGCAAATGGAACATTCGCTTTCCGGGAAAGAAGGCAAATTGCAGGAAATCATCGATAGTGAGAAATCTCGCCATCAGAATGCGGAAGCCGTCCTTAATCGTCAACTCAAGGATCTAAACGATGAGCTCACGTCTAAGAGACAAACAATTGATGGTCAGCGGAGTGACCTTCTTTCAGTCAGGGAAGAATTACGGGTCAGCAAGCGCGAGGATACAACATTGAAGGACAAGGTGCAGGCATTGGAAGATGAGGTTGTGGTCTTGCAATCCAGTTTGCAAGAGGAGCAAGAATACGCCCGGGGGCGAGTGCAGAAGGGATCCTCGGACCAAGAAGGTCAGGTGCAAAAATTAATCGCCGAAAAGCAAAGACTTCGCGATCAATTGGCCAACGCCCATGTTGAGTTACATGATCTGCGGACTGCCCTGTCTGAGATGGAGACGGAGCGTGATGACCTTCACAACCAACTGGATCAAGCCCAGAACCCAGCTGACGACACTACGCGATTTGACCGGGAGAAGCATGAACTTCGGAAGGGCAATTTGCGTGTTGAGAACGAGCTGAGGCGACTAAAGGATGACAAGGTGGCGCTGCTTGAAGCAAAAGAAACACTCGAGAAGCAGCTCAATGCTGAGATCGAGCGTGCTACCGCTGAAGAGAACCACATGTCAGCAGAAATTGACCGACTCCAAGACAGGCTGCGATTACCCTCCGGCGGAGCGGATCGGGAGCTCAGCTTAGCCAAGAGTAAAGTTCAGCGCCTTGAGAGACGCGTGCAGGAACTCGAAGGCCTTCTTGAACAACAGCCACCGCTATTGGAGAATGAGCATTCTGCTACGAATGCGGACCTTTCGATGCTTCGCCATAGTCTGGATGAAGCCCGGAAGCGCGAGAGGACTCTCATTCAGCGCGAGGCTGACCAGAAATCCTCTGTCCATGCCTGCAAGTCACGAATTGCAGAGCTCGAGAGAGAGCTCCATGATGCACTAATGAAGAAATACGACACAAACTCACCGCAATCATCACCATCCGACAAACTACACCATGAGTTGCGCACTCTCCGACGACAACTGTCCGACGCCCACAAGTTGCTCAAGGAAGCGAAAACAAAGAACCGCGACCTTGAGCGCGCCACAATGAGAGAAGAGGACCAGCGGGACATTCATGAGCTTCTCAAAACCTCCACGCTGGAGGTAGAAGCCCTGGAACTCAAGCTCTCCGAACGAGACGCCAAGTTCAACGAATTGAAGACCCAAGTCCGCCGGATCCGCGAGGAGCGCGCCTTCTGCGTGAAGAAGGCCGAAGCAGCCACCAGCCAAGTAGAGTTTCTTCAGAGCCGCTACAATCAGGTCATGGAGAAGCTGTCAAGTAAGGGCGACAGCAGCAAGACCCGTCACGACAAGGAGATTCTGGGACTAGGCAAGGAAATCGTGTGGTTGAGAGCACGGTTGAAGCGTGAGGAGAAGTTCCGTCGTGATCTTGCCTGGAGTAAGGGTCTGATGGAGCTCGGAGAACGTGTTCGTGTTGCATGGTACGTGAACATCCTTTCTTTCTTCCCCTTTACTTGTCTATCCGGAATTCCAATGCTAACTTGATTACTACAGCAACGACGCCGACCTTCGCATGATCGCCGAGATGGGCGTCAAGCCTCATAATGGCACTCGGATCCGCAGTCCACGCCAGAAGTTAAAGGCCGCCATTTCCACCGTCAAGGCCGCCGTACGCATGCAACGAATGGGCCGGGAATGGAAGAAGACCAAGAAACTGGGCGAGGGTCTGAAACGTGCGAAGAACGAGGTGCTGAAGAGAAGGGACAGCTCGTATAAGTCGATAACGGAGTAAAAAAAGGGCATGGCGATTCGGTGACTTGGTGTTCGATGGGTTCTTTGGTGTCCTTTGGTTTCTTTGGCCTTCCCCTTAATGATTTGTCTTTTGTTCAGACTTGATTGATGTGATTCCCCCTATACGCCTTTTTCATGACAGTTATTACTGGTTTTTGTATTTATTCAGGCGTTTGTGTACTGGATGCAGGTTTATTTGTGATCGTGTTTCTGTTTAACTCGTAGAATACATTCCTGACGGGAAGTGTTATTTGGATAATTATTGACACATTCCGAGCATGGCGTGCTTAGATAGCACCGTTTCATGACAGAAATCACAGGCTCTACCGGGGTACTTCCTTGGAGATGGGTTGGTAAGGATATTCCCTGCCCCAGCCATTAGGGTAAGCCGGAATCATCCAAATAAGTAAACCGGGACCCAGGAACCGGTGGCGTTGCATTATACGCATTTACTTCTAAAAAGACAGCGAGTATTACCACTAAAGAATGGCGCATAATATCAGTCCAGCCCTCTTTACTAAAGAATGTCAACATAAATTGACGACCTCAAATGAGTTTGTATTCCTAAGGCATTAACAAGGTATGCGTGCAGTGGCTTCATAGCAGTACGGAGTAGACCAAAGTGGCCACCGCCTCGGGCCACAATCCGTCTCAAATATTCTAGCTGAGCACCCGGCAGCAGCCCCCCCCCCAAGTTCCAAGTTCTATGCCACCAATGGCAGGCTCGCCCTCCTCAGCTGAAAATGAAGGCTCTCGCTTCACCTTTGTCCTTGACGGGCACCACGCTGGGACACGGAGCCATGCCATGCGTGTTCACTGGACCGAACGTCAGAAAGCCAGGCAGGAGAAAAAGCGGCAACAGACTAGGCGGAGAGCGCTCCCAATTCTTGCAAAGGAGGGACCCGTGAGCTCAGCATCGTATTCTGAATCGCAAGGCACAAATACATTCCCTGCCACCGTGCAAGAAAGTTCAACAACAGAACAAGTTGCCGGCGTGGACAATGTCGAGGTCGGACAGTGTGGAATACCAGGGGTCCCTGCTCAGCTTCTTACCGGACTCAACCATGCCTTAGCATCTACACGACTAGATCCCTTTGATTCGTTTCCAATTAAACTCACAAGTCAACACCATAAGCTAGTCCATCACTGTACTGTCTACCAACTAGCAAATCGCGAGACAAACCGAGTCTAACTTAATCGGAACAGGGTTGAGCACACACGCTACTATGATGTTTGAAAACATACCGGCATCCAATTTTAATCCCATGAGGGACGTCTGGTTTCCCCTAGATCTCTCCAATCCTGCATCGTTTAATGCTATCATGGCACATTCTGCAGCACATTTGGCCCATTATTACGGGGGAATGACCCCGACTCGGGGAACTAATTCCTCCGAAGCCTTGAAATTCAAGGCAGATGCTGTTCAAATTTTGAATCACTGGCTCAGTGACCCCGAAAAGGCCTTGAGTAATGATGCATTCGCAGCTGTTGTCCGACTCTTGACGTTTGAAGTAAGTCCATTGTTTTCATTTATTCTAATAGGCTTGAATGGCAATACTAATAATGATGTCACGAATAGAGGTACTGGGGAGTTGAAGAAGAATGGAAAATACACCGGAATGGCCTCCAAGGGATGATTCATGCGAGAGGAGGTCTCCATCAATTACATAGCGACTGGAGACTAGAGCTGGTCGTTGGTCTGTAAGTCTATCGGCAACCAGGCCCACTGTGTGTTGCCAAAAATAAAAATCTAACAGCCTAGTATTTCTTTCATGTCAAAGCCGTCATGGTTTGAGTCTACGAATGATCTCTCGGAAATTTCAGAACATAGTATGAGAAGGAGCATACTAGGGAGCTCTATTGACCTGCACAAAATGCGCTGTCTATGGCTGATATCTTTCATCCAGGATATGCGCAATCTGATGGGCATGTCATCACAACTGTACATGGACGGACTGTCCGTCTATCCCTCGTTATACGATGCAGTCCTCTTTATTCGGGATAACTTTCAAGTTGAGAGTCAAACATGCAAAACTCAGCATCACGAATCCGACTATGACAGGCTAGCATGTCTGTTTGCTATTACTATCATGGTGCAGGAATCGGTTTCTTTGGCCTACTCTGCCGCGATTAATGAATTGGCAATTCTGGAAATGTCGCTCCAGACATACCGACATGTCTGGGAGGGCTCAATTCATTTGTTGCGATCCTTTCTTCATAATCACTTTGTGAATTCTTATCCAAACGGTGAACTGAAGATAGACTATGTCATGCAAATGACGGATGTCGTCAGTCACCTCAGCCTGGAGGCACATCGGGGAATTGAGAAATGTCTCCTTAATATGCTCTGTCGAACGTGGGATGGGAAGATGCCTTTTTTTGTGGCTGACGGAGGGACTCCGGATTCACTTCTATCCACTGTGCATGGATACTGATCTTGATACCGGCCTAAGAAGAGAGAAAATCAAAGGTTGTGAGAACTTCTTTTGCTAAGAAATGCTGGCCTTAATACAAGAGAGATCATGAATCAGTCCTCTTCTAAGCTAGCCAGCACGCTGGCAGATGGGGCGAAGAACGTCGTCCCCGTCAGCGGCCTGGAGAAATCGAGTATACGATCATGCAGCCCAGGGGGATTCCCCACAAACATGCGCTGCATCATCCGTTCAATAACCCATAACCGCGCCGTATATCCGATGAAGTATGTTCCAAACTCGGCCGACCCCGGGGATCCGAATGGCATATTGTCTCGAAGGATTTCGTGCTCGCCGCTTTCGTCCTCGATTGTCGTCAGCGTCTTGTGCGATTGCTGCCCCGACTCCGCGTCATCCAACTCAATGTTATCCGACTTGGTTCGTCCGATGATAGCCTCTTGTTGCTCTGTTTTGAGAGATTTCCACGCCGTCAGGTCATGTACGTATTTCTGTACAACAATGTAGCTGCCCCCGACACCAGATGCATCTTCCTGGTTGACCAGAACCGCTTCAGGAACAGCAGGACCAATAGGATTTGCCGTACCATCAACGAATCCCAATAAATCACGAATATCAAAGTAGCGGAAGCCCACTGTCTCATCAACAACCGAGACTGCGTCACCCAGGCGGTCCATCAATTGCCGTTCGAACTCGAAGCATAGATCCCGGCGTTCCGCACGAATATGAAACAAGATATCTCCCGGGGTCGAAATGGCCGTGTGAGCCTTGCCCTTTACCTCCTGGAAAGGACGCAGCTCTGCCGGTCGCGGAAGGCCGGTCAATTTATCCCAGATATTGCTCCCAATGCCAACGGTACATGTGAACAACGAGTTGAGGTCGCGGATCGTGATGTTCTTGGTGAGGTCTTCGATACCGGCAATGGTCGAGCGGGCGGTTTTGATGGCGTCTGGACTGTCGTTTACGGACAGGACGAGGAAGGTTGCGAATTGCGTGAGCGGCGCGTCTACCCTCTGCGGTTGGATGTTGGCGCGCTCACCCATCGTTGTGTCGTTGGCCGGTGCACTGGTAGAAAATGGACGGTATAGAATGCGATTACGAGGGTAATCTCGATGACACTGCTGGTATGGTGAAGGAAATCGTGATTGCTTAACAATAGTAGTATTCAAAGCTGCCTGTGCTCGTCCCGGTGCTAACGGTTTCGCGAGACGATGGAATTGACGCTGGGAACCCGGTAACAAATCACTGCAAACCGTATTACCAATCCGATTTATATTCATCCCTGCATCTGAATCCCATTCTGAGACTGTTTCTCGCGCGAGTTATGTGGTGATTCGTCTGCTCGCCGTGTATGACATTTTTGCAGAACACTATGCCATGTTACAATGACCACTGGTTCGACGAATGAGTGTGCGTTTGTTAGTTATTTCCCAGCTAGAGCAATGGTGAAATCATGCCCGAGCTCCTCTTGAAGAAAATAGCTGAGGAGGTGGCAATCGACGTGCCGTTTTTGGGCGACGCGCTCATTGGCCGAATGGTATTTCCGGATTGGGCAATGCTGAGGTGTGTCGACATCATGCATTTTTGCTGCACTTTTGTGGCTCATTGCGAATGTCAAGGTTGAGGCGTATTGTATTGCTATAATATATGCCAGGTCTTACAATAGTATTAGCCTCCATACCTAAGCCCTAAAAGACATGCAATGCTACGGAGTACAGCTACGCAGGGTAGACCTTAACAATACCAGGTAAAATATTCGATCATTCAACTATCGACAGGTATTCACATATGTGCATATATCATTCAGATTAGTTACAACAAAAACATCAAATGACAGTAATCACATCAATCCTCCATAGGTTTTCCCTTGTTCCTCCAATTCCTCATCCCGGTGGTAGTAGTCCCGGAGCTTGTCCATCTCGCTTTCCTTCTGTTGAGGCTTCTGGTCCTGCGCTTTGGATTTATCGCCACTGTTGTTGTCCTTATTGTGATGGTGGTGGTGCTCGAAGAATTTCTCCATGAATCCTTCCTTATGCTGGGGTTGAGTTTCTGGAAGAATGAGCTTGGGAACAGGATCAATTGTTACCGGTTTTACATACCCTGAGGCATTGTGGTTGCTTATAGACGGGTTCTTTTTAAGAGGTTCAAGATGTATATTTTAGGAGTGGTTGTAGGTTGTCTAAGAGCATAATAGCGACACTGAAATATTTATATCCACTTCGTTATGCTTCGAAGCCAGTGCAATAAACCAAACATAGGTCTTCCCCGCAGACTGACATCACCATAAAACAGATTCCATGGCTATCCCATCTCATCTAGTCGAATATGCATGATTGGTCAATCACTATTTCCTACTTGAGCCACGGATCATGGTGGGTCAATATCTGCAAGTCAAGCTTTCTTGAATTTTGATACATCGAAGGAATAAAAAGAAAAAGGTGATTTCATTTTCATTACTCGTATACAGTCACTAAATACTTTATTCGAAAAGATCCTTATGATCTGCCTTGAGAAGGTCCGCACATTTCTCACCAATCATGTAAATCGAGTTCTGGATCCGGCAATCCGGGATCACAGGGACAACAGAGGCATCCGCAACGCGGAGATTCTTGATGCCGTGAACCTTCAGCTTGGGATCAACAACACCCTGCTCGATGTTCTTCGACAGCCGAGCAGTACCGCAAGGGTGAAACGCAGTCTGGCACCGGTCCAAAACCGCCCGCTTCATTTCGTCGTCCGAGTCGAGCGGCATTTCCCATGGGTATTCGTCGACAACTAGGTCCTTGAAGCCGTCACCTTTGGTGAGGACATCGTAGCTGAATCGAATTCCCTCCCGCATGGCGATTATGTCGAGGTCGTTGGCGAAGAAGTTGAGGTTTATGTTTGGCTGGACTAGGGGATCGGCGCTGTTCAACGTCACCTCTCCAGGCTCGGAGACTGGACGGACCAGGTCGACGACGACGGTGAGGTAGTTGCCCTGCTTGGGGACCGGGTAGTGCCACTGGAAGGCACTGCCGAACATGCAAACAAAGTCAAGTTCGAAATGGGGCTGTCCGTATGGCGAGAATGGATCCTTGCCGCCGTTGGCAGCCTTAGCCTTGCGGTATTCCTCGTCCTTTTCGAGATAATCGTCAATTCGCGGGAAGCCAACCAGTTCCAAAAGTCCAGAGGCAGCAGGGCCGGTGCGGTTTTTCTTGTAGGCCTCAACGGTCGTAGCGTTCTGAGGGCCTTTGCGCAGCAGGTGGTCATCCATGCCGTAGCCGTCTTTAACACGAAGTACGAAGGGCACACCCGGGTGATCAATGAGGTGTTGGCCAACGTGGCGCGAATCAACAACCGTGTTAATGCCGTGTTTTGCCAGCTCGCGGGAGGGACCGATACCGCTCAGCATGAGCAGCTTCGGAGTTTCAAAGACACCCTGGGACAGGATGACCTCACGGCTAGCGTAGAATTTGAGCTCGTTGCCCGAGGGGTCGATGACAGTCACACCCTTGCAGACGCGGTCTGCCTCGTCGATAATCAGCCGCTTCGAGTGAACCTGAGGAAGGATGGTGATGTTGGGCTTGTCCTGCACGAAGAGGAAACTTCCAGACCGTACGCCCTTGTAGATACTGTCGCAACAGTGGGTGAGACCGATCATTTTACCATCGTAGATGTTTTCGGTAAGAGGATGGCCGCGGGACGTCCACGCCCTAGTGACAGCATCACGGAAGGGCTCCATCTCGTCAAGAAGCTCAGCATGTGAGATGTGAACAGGGCCGCCTGCTCCGATTTTGGACAAGTCAGCCTCATAAATACCACGGTCGTCATGGTAGGTTGCGCTTTTCCGGAGGTAGGGGACAAGGGGATCCCAGGTCCATTCCTTGCCGCCATATTCCTCCCACATATCGAAGGTTGGCTTGCAGCCGGGGACCCAAGTAAAATAGTTCAGGGACGAGCTGCCACCAAGCGTTTTACCACGGGTGTTGGGCTTCTCGATTCGCTCGTAATCATCGCGCTTGACCATCGTACTCTTGTACGCCCAGTCATGCTTGCTGTTTCGCAGGTCCATGGCCGAAGAAGGCGTAGTGATCTCCTCGACTTCCAGAGGATTTCCAACGCCTGCTTCGACAATAAGGACGGTAACATTGGGGTTCTCTGCTAGACGACCGGCGACAGTGTTACCTGCCGTGCCGCCGCCGACGACCACGAAATCGAAGTAAGAGCCGTTTTTAACCATGATGGGAGATAGAATTGGGCTGAAGAGGTTTGGACAATCTGGATAGTGGTGATGAGGACCGAGTAAGAGAAGGAAGCAGTGCTATATAGCTTTTCCCTGAAGCCTGATACAAGGACATGCCGCACCGCAGTTGCCGGTTTTCTTTCTCTAACTCCACCTCATGAGGGGTTATATGACGTCCGCTACATCTATGCTGACGGGTGGAGTGGAATAATGAGGAGCAATCTAGAACAGCTGGATTCGATTGGAGACCTACTTAGCTGGATAAACCGGTAGAGCTTCTGGACCCGATAGAGGAGATTTCCTTGAGATGCGGACAATCTCTAGTGATACACAGAGCTCATCATGTGAGGCTAGAACTATTGACGTTGCCATGATCCAGCCATCTCCTGTGCTATGTGGATCCTTGCATGTTGCCTTTTTGGGGAAATACTAACTGACCAATCAAAAACTCCCCCGAGTACGGCCGGATTCGGCGTCGACTTGACATTTTGCCCTAATGGCCCCACAGGCCGTCAGTCCCGATCGAGATACATACGGAGTACCACTATGTACTCATCGATGATGTGCGGGGAAGGTATGTTACTATGCAAGGCCAAAGAATTGCCCAGGGTGGTGGTGCGGTCAATGTCATTCAAAGCGTATTCGCCTCGGTAATTCATGGGCTATTATTCGCTATGTTGCGTTGGAGGTTATATCATGATTGGTGATTGGAAATCAGTTCTACGGAGGGGTTGCTTTGCATATAAAAGCCGCTGGCTATTTCTTAACCCATTAATCTTGGTTAGACGACCTGAATCTGTTCGCAAAAGGATTACCGGTAATACACCAGAAGCAGTCAACAATGTCTTACTACACTCTGGCCGAGGGTAGGAGCTATCAAATCCCCAAAGAAATGGAAGATGACTGACGACGTTCAGGCTGTCCCTATGCCCGAAACAATACAAGCGTTCAAGTTCGGAATAGATCAGGTGGTGGATTAGTCTTGCTCCAAGACACCCAATTGATTGAAAGTCTGGCTCATTTCTCTCGCGAGAGGATCCCAGAGAGGTAGGTCCCACGGCCTCTGGATAAGAAGACGAATTTCTGACTATGCTCGGAGTGGTTCACGCTAAAGCGGCTAGGTATGAGCACTATACTACAGTCAATTCGATTCTGCTTTGTCGACAGACAGATCAAGAAATTTCTCGGCGAATCTGATGTTGAAGGATGTGATGCTGATAGTTCTGCCAATGAAGACTGGGAGCTACCCACCCCGGAGTATGTATTTTCTGAACAGGCTCGCCTTATGGAAAACTTTTACGGTCCCGACGCAGAGAACTTTGATGAGGACAAGCTACTTGCTCGACGCATCCAGGTTACCAAGGACATGGTTGCGCTTCTGCGGCTCTGTGAACCGCCCCGACGAGGCAACCGAGTCAATTGGAATTTCGATGATGGGGATGATGAACTGCTTGAACAGCCAGAAGAGCCCGCGTCTTCTGAGGAAGATACTCTGGTATGTCCAACAGATGTCTGCATCATTTGTTGTGGTGTATCTCGTTCAGCGCCGAATCCTCCTCCACATAAATTTTCTTCCAAGCGGAAGGATTCTCTTCGTCGCCACCTCATTGAATCTCATCTGGTTCATGCACATGACGGGATTAGCTGCAATTGGGAAGCCTACGGCAACATGCCCAAGTTCAGTAAAGTCACTGAATTTCTGGCCCACGCTGCCCAGGTGCACGCATATGACATCAAAATTAAACTCTGTCATCTCCCTCAAAGTCCACAAATTGCTTGCAGCGCTATCTCATCCATTTACAACTCAGAGGTGTCTTCAGAATGTGACAGTCAACCAAAATCTGAGACTCCAGCCTCCTCTGTCGGCTTTGAAATAACGAATATCGACCCGCGCTTGCTGGAACCCCAGACTGTCAACATGGAGGCCCCGTCGAACCAACCCGGTACTGATACTCTCATGTCTTCCATTGGTTCTGGGGTGACAAAGATCACTCCATGCTCGACAGAGATTGCTACAAGGCGAAAAACAACGAAACGAGCGGCAAAGGCAGCAAGTTCCAAGCCAGAGCCTCAAAGACAACATACAACGCGCTCATCTCTACATCACGACCACTCAGAAGCGCAGCCAGGGGTACTGAAATCCTCCAGTGTCAAGCCTTTGCTGCGTCGGTCAAAGAGACTGAAAAGTTGATAATGGTGTGGTATTGGATGGTGAAATCAGGATCCAGAAGTTGACTGGAAGTAATTACCTGAGTTGCTCAAGACAGCTTAATTAAGAGAATAATCATGGTGTTACTACCTGGTCCTATGGCAAACTGGACCGTGGTGACTTCAGCCACATGGGCTACACTTGCACACAGACTGTACATGGAAAAGAGCTGTAGATGAAGAATAATTGTGGATAGACAATGGTCTCTAACATAAGATAACTGCCTGTGGAAATTAGCTGCGTGTGATAAATAGTTACATATGGATCATAGGCATATACAAAGAATAGCTGTGTGTGGACAGAAGCTGCATGTGAAGGGTGGTTATACAGCAATATTTGAAATCAGATTACCCTATGTAATTTATTTAGAATAGATATTATATAAATGTGCAATGAAATGATTTTGACTAACCTGTCTACATTTTGTGCTGCCTTTTGTGCTGCCTTTTGTGCTGCCTTTTGTGCTGCCTTTTGTGCTGCCTTTTGTGCTGCCTTTTGTGCTGCCTTTTGTGCTGCCTTTTGTGCTGCCTTTTGTGCTGCCTTTTGTGCTGCCTTTTGTGCTGCCTATTTTTCCTTGTCTTTCCTTTCTCTGCCTTCTGGCCTCCGAACATTCCCGCCATTCTTTTTTTTTTTTTTTCAACAAAGCAAAGCAGAAGCTCACAAAGCTTGCTAGCAATGAGTAGAAAGAGGCTAATATATCGAGTTATATCGGCTCCAAAAAGCAACAGCATGAAATGCACGCTCCCATCCTTCAAGCTACTCACATACTATAACTATCCATATTGTGGCAAATAGACGTTGGTTTTTTATAGGGACCACACTTGGGGGCGGCAGCAAATTACGAAAGGTTAATACGAGAATTGTTTATGGTTGAGGGGAGTTGTATTATTATTATTATTATTATTATTATTATTCATACACGCATCTGTCAGCCCTATAGGCCGAGTAGCGGCAGGTCCTGCAGGGCAGCCGGGGAAGCCGCCGTAATGGTAGTCGCTATGTACATCGTCGCCTTTATACACATATCCTGATATCTCATTCCGCATGTTGTATATCCCGTGCTGCTGGTTTTCGTGCCGCTGTTCCCATGGCCACGAGGATCCATGGGCTTGTTGGATACTATCTCGTTTCCTTCCCTACTTCTGCAAGCGTGTAACCTTGGCTGCGTTATGCTGCCGGTTTCCCCGA